CTGTTACACATGCACGAAAGCATGCTTATTTAAAGCATGTCTTGCTGTAGCCATAGTGTTTAGGTACCAGATATCCAGATTTATCTGTCTACCTCAAAGCTAGCTTTCATGTAACAATAAGTTACTTTGCCATACGTGTTGGAAAAAAACACTCAATACATCTGTTACTTGTCCTTCTAATAAAGTTAAGTGAGACGTGCCTCGTATGTCTTGAACTTGGATAAATTGTACAAAAATTGACTGTTCGACTTATCTGATTATAGTTGCTTGATACGACGATCCGTAAACCAATTTCTTTTTAAGATCTAATACACTACAAATAGCGGTTTTTCTCATATATATTTGTACTGTTTCCATCGATAAATAAACCTGCATTATTGTAAACCCTTTTTTTATAAAGCACTTTTTTATTAGTCCCTTTCATTCAAAGGTGGAGTGTAAGAGGCTTTACCTGAATTGGATTACAAAGAATTGCCACAGACGGACATTATTGAACCCTATTTTATAGTATACCAGTTGGGATTACTATTTATTTATTTGCTATTATTCTTTTTAAATAAATATTCTTTAATTTTCCATCGTAATTAAGTAATTTGTATTAAATAATTATGTTATCAGATTATTGCTCGTCAAAATGTATCTTAAAGTACAAATTGTTCTTACTGTTATTAAATTTTCGGTAACCATAGCAATACGGAGATTGGATAACAGCATCCAGTGTCGGTCTCGAGATATATCGTATCTTATCTTTGTTGGATAAACTTAAAGTTATTGATATAACTTATAGATTTGGTGCAAGAAACTTTGTTAGTGTTCTGAAATGTACATAGCACTTATTAGATTAAATTTATTAAACAATGAACTATTTCAATGAGATCTAAGGCTTTTGCGAGTTTTATTCATTTAAATTAAACGAATACTTTTCGGAAATACTACTTTCTTAATATGCTTTATTTTTGAAACGTCGGGAATATGTAGTTTTTACAAAAATAAAGCACCCGTAGTATATCCGAAAAGTATTACTTTCATTTGAATGAAGCATTTTACTAAATTAGAGCCAATTATAAGTTAGAGTCATAAACGCATAATTTTTACTACTATGTACTGGATTTTGTTTTTACATAAAATATATTGTACAGCTTTTAATACACTTATACATAAGAAAAATAAATTAAGATTTCATTTAATGTTTTAAAAAACAGCTCCATTATAAAGAAATACCAAATTTAGACTACGTATAAGTATTACAAACTGAATTCTTCACACTATACATATATTTAAGCATTACATTTTATAGCGTGATAGCGAATACAGTAAAGTCAGAAAGCCGTATTGAAAAATGAATCGTATTAGAAGTAACGCTCACCAAATATCTGCTGATGTATTTTTTGGACTGGACATAAGGTCCAAATTACTTAATACTTAATTAATAATATGAAATCTTGGAAGAACGAATAGTATTAGTTCTTTGCATTAGATACAATCTATATAAAAAAATATAGTTTTGTACGATTGTTATATTAAATATCTGTTTCTTGAAGTTTTATATATACTATAATAGTTCTTGCTCGCGACTTCGTCTGCCTTAATATTGGCATATATAGTATAGCTGATCAGACGAACTGAATTCCGCCTTATAGGCCATAAATAACCAGATATAGGAATTTAATAAGTTTTTTCTTTCGCGTACATAATCCTATGTCCGTCTCCTGGTTCTAATCTATCTTTCCATAAATTTTCAACTATATCCGTACAGCCGTTCTCGAGTTATAAATAGTGTAACTAACACAACTTTCTTTTATATACAGATAGCTACACAAGACGCCACGACCATAAACTTAAAAGCTTCTACTTTAATAATATTTGACGGGGAATATATAAAAAGGTGATATTTCACGTTTTCACCCAACGGAAACAATTTTCCCCCGGAACGCATTACCTGCGCCCTCGGGAAGCTTCTATAAAGTGCTACATTGTTATCACTCCTCTTACAATTTCATTTTGTAAGTGCGTCAAATTATCACTCAATATACTTCTACACTCTTTCTTTAAGATTTTTTTAAAAATATCGATTCTTATATAGAAAACTAGATTTTCGCCCGCAGCTTTAACCGCGTGGAGTTCGGTTATATCGCGTTTCCAAGATAACTTTTCAAAAGTCTGGGATAAAAATTATCCTATGTTCTTTCTCAAGGTCAACTTTATCTCTGTACCAAATTTCATTAAAATCAGTTCAGTGGTTTAAAGCGTAACATACAGACAGACAGAGTTACTTTCGCATTTATAATATTAGTTGGGATACTATTAAATCTTTGTAATTGTATGTATAAATGAATTTCGCGATACAATAAAATAATTTTTAACGTGAAACTTCTAAATGTATATTTTCTTTTCATTTTCGCATGCATTATACAAATGACGTGAAACTCTGATAAGTGGTTTAAGGATGAATGAAAAAATGTACTTTATTTTTAATAGCACAATATAGTATGTTGGCATTTTAGGAACTGGGGCGTCATTTATTTTAAATGAAAAAAATTGTGTTTACAATCCATGTTATGGAGCTGAAATAAAGTAAACACACACACACACACATATATACATATATACATATTAAATGTTGCAGTACAAAGATATTTTCCTTCGTCTATTTCCCATCCAATCCACGTCTTAACAACGCTTCCACAATTTATAGAATAAGAAAGTGAAGTAGCTGATTTGTCTTTTAAATTTCCACGACACAATATAGATATATTTTAATAAAATAAATGACTTATTGTTTTTCAATGTACATAATACATAAGTCGATAATAATAGTGGCCAAAAAAGATGTATGTTATACATTTGACTTTGATATCTGTGTATATATTTGTCTGTGGCATTATATTTACAATAGATGAACCCATTTCGATGCAATTTTTGTTATTTAAAACAATTTCATTAGATTTAGTTCTTATCTATTTGTTTAATATCGGTCCAGCAGTCTAAGACTTTTGATTCTCCCATAATTATGTAAAGCATTGTTAAGTTTCAATTAATTAATAGTTTTTCATTATACTAAAGTCTATTTATAAAAAATATACATTTATATTGTTGGTTTTATTAAACGTAACGCAATTACAAGCTTTTATTTTTATTTATAAGAATAGGGAACGGAACAATGAACGTTTCAAAGAATTTTAATAGCTATTCTGTTGTTGTGAGGACAGCTCGTGACTGTACAGCTACCTGCTGACGGAAATGGATAAAGCTGACGGTTTTAATGAAGCCCTAGATTTATGAAGCTTTCCTTAACTAGATGTACAGCTTAGGGTCACGTTATTAACTGACACAATATGTACATGTAACAGAATATATAATATACTAGATTTTTCGCGTCTTCGTCCGCGTTAATTTCGGAATTAGTAATATATGTATAGCTGACGAACTCTCTTCCGCCCTGGCTATAAATAAACAAATATTGGAAATTATTAAGTATTTTTCTGTTTTAATCGAACAAAATTAAATATACTATGTTCCTCACCTGGTAACAACGTCAACTTACTTCCCCACTAATTGTCAACCATATCCCTACAGCCGTTCTTGAGTTATAAATAGTGTGAGTAACACAATTTTCTTTTATATATTAGCTGTACATATAAAGTTCTCATGGAGTGAAAGAAATAGATGAGCAGTTACAAAAGAGGTCTATATTTATAAAATACGCAATAAATAATTTATCTGTGAACTTATTGACTAAAAGCATATGAAATGAAGTAAATAAGAACTTTAAACATTTATCTTTCAAGAAATATTAATCATTAAACGTTATTATTTAATATTGTTACTTTTCATAGACATGAATTTAGAAAGTAGATACATAGACTTTGTGGTTTTTTTTTCAATTTTTTCAGGGAAATAGTGATATAAAAAATTCAAATTATCTAAATTGTTACTTATTTATTTTGCACTTGTCTATATAATAAATAAGTAGTGTCTTTATAATCAAAATGAAAGATGATATCAAGAAATATTATTGTTCTCATAAAACAAACTTGTAATTTGTTTTTGCTAATTGATTATAAGTGTAACATAATTTTTATTATCATTGTTGGAAAGAGCTCGTAAAATATTGCTCCTGAAATGCTCCTTCATCAACAATTATAATTGTTAAAAAAGTATATTATTTTAGCTACTCAAAATTGCAGAAAATATAAGAATCTTTATCATGCTTCCCTAACGTAAGTAATTTTACATTCTTAAAGAATAGAACATGAGTATTTTATTTTATTTACAATTGTGTTACTTCGATATAAGTGCTTGTTTAAAATGATTTTAATAATATTGAAATATATCTGCAATTCATTTGTTTTTATGGAAAAAACTTTATATAATCTGAAAACAACTTCATATTTTGACAGAGAATGACGTTATAAGTAATATGTTTCATACATGCGATACCGAGTCAAAGGTGATATATTAAAGTTTTTAATATAGAAAACCAGAAGTTGTTTAGTTTATTAAATTCCTGTCTGGCTGCGGTTTTATCATTCAGGCGAGCGCAGACCCCGAGTGGTTACGTTCACTTTGAAATGAAATACCGGATTCCTTAAAAGAGACTCCTTTGTTCAAGGGTCACGGGTCACGCGACTGTTTTGACAATTTGTTTTTTTGAATGGCAGAAATTTAATATGAAGCTGTTTTTATATACTTTCCAACGTACTTCACAACACAAATATGAGATTGGAACCGACACAATTTACAGTATAGACTATAGATAGAATACCCTCAATTTATTACAATTTAGGAAATATTATGTATGTAATATAATTGTCCTGCCAGCATTTATTCTTAACAGAAACATCTATAATATACCTTTGTGTCATCAAAATCACACAAATTAATACTCGTAGATTCACATAATATAAAGACTTTTGCAAGTTTCTATTCCTTTTTGATAAAGTCGGTGAAAAGTATGTATAAGATAATAATGAGTCATAATTCATTGTTTTTTTTTGCAGTCACGTCACGAGGACAGCGAGCTGGTTACCACCGGCGGAGAGCTGGCCCGTCAAAGATGAAGACAGTCCGGATGAAGAGGATCTGCCTTACGGCTGGGAACAGGCGCTCGATAGCAGAGGGAAACCTTACTACATCAAGTATGTACTATACACATCACTAATATAAAGATACAATTAAAACTGAGCATTCATTGTATAATTTTTTTATATTTCTGTGGAGTCTAAATGACATTTTGACAGTAAATGAATTAACACGCCAGTTAAAAGAAATTAATAGAATACATCACACCATTCATATTATTAAGCTTTGAAAGAGGATTAAATTCTGAATTCGACTGTGTGAATATATATTCGATAAATATTAATAATTAAGTTAAAAATAATTGAACAGACTGAATGACCTGGTAGTAAGTGGGCACTTCTCCTTTGAATAGACAAAATAAAAATAATGATGCATTATTTAAATGGCTGCATTCTAAGTAAAATCTTTGATTATAAAATTTTACATTTGATCCAGTTAGGACGAGAGTGACAATACAAACATCATGACTACGATTCATCAAATTCGTTTGAGTCTTATCCATTTTACTGAGGATAGGATATATAAAGGGGTGTTTTTAAACTCCTTTGGATTCAAAATCGATTTTATGTTCAGTATTTGTAGCTTGTAATTAGTGGAGTAATAGGAAAGAACTTTTAATTAATGGAGTAATAGCAAGTCCTACCTGTAGGAACACTTTATGATGAAGTTTTGCTATGCATTATAAAGTATTTTTTATTTTAATACAATCTCTAGATCCAGTTTGCTGTTTATGGACTAAACCAAAATACATTCACTGATCTCTAGAGCTTTTGTTGAATTTTGAATCGTAGCGACAGATTATAATGTCAGAGTCTTAAACATGTGTTTTCACCACAAAATGTCAGCTTAGCACATAACGATCTGTTCCACAGAAATTTCAATGTGATTTTTATCCTTTTCTCTTTTACCCGTTCACTATAATGCGCCTTCAGTAATGTTATTAACTTGGCAGCGAGTCTTTCACGTTTGCCACATGTTGTTGATATTAAAAAACCAACATCACTACTATAGGATATATCGTGGGCACGTTAAATTATAAATGCTCATAAGTTACATTTCTTTGCATTGATGATGGGACTGTCGAAAATAAGACGATATATAGGTTAGAAAACTTTAAAAATAAGATTATTATTAAGGACGTACCAAAAGGTAATGCTCAAATAGGTCCCTTGAACAATTTCCTAATACTAACAGAATGTAGTGAACTTAATAATGCACCTAAATTAATACTTTTTTTGCAGTATTTTAAATAAAATCGCCATTTATATTCTTGGTTAACGTCACAAGTTTTAATTATTATTCTTGTATTCTTAGACCCAGTTTCACCAATCAATGTTTGTTTAATCTAATCACAGCATTTACTAACCAGCCTACAAAATTATAAATGTCTGTTAAAATATTTACGTCCCACGATGACAAATTAAAAACGCATTAAACCTCATGTCAAATGACCGACTACCAAATTATTCGTTCTTGTTATAAGACGATCAAATGGAAACTATAGCGTTTAATACGGCACGTTTGCCACTATGTACCACTTTATACTTTAATCGTATATATCCCTCGATACATCACTTGTAAGCTAATGCGACCAAATTTTATATATCGTTGGTTGCATACATTTATAACACAAAAAGCTTTCTTTTCAATTAACTAGGTGTAACTTGTCAAAATCAATAAATTGTGTTATATATTATTGTGTTATAAATTATTGTGTTATAAATTATTGTGTTATAAATATAGACATATTGTGTTCAAATTATAAGAAATAAAAAGATAACTTAATTTGCAATGTCACAGAAAAGCTGGAGGCAAAATCATCATACTAATTGAAATTTTAATTCACTTTATTAATAATAACAAGGAAATAGTCGAAACTGACAAAACAGATGACGTTACTATGGTTACAAGAAATCAGGGCTGTGATTGGACAATTGAGTTCTGACAATGCCATTAACATTCTGTTAGCCATTAGACGGAGCTCCAGAGCAGGAATTAATATTAGTGGCTGGTTAAGACATTTAAGCGGACATTAGTGCGTGGTGGGACGCTCGATACATCTAACAGAGCATCAAACGCCTTAACACGATGTTACTTATTTAACACTAGCTTTTGCCGTGACTCCGTCCGCGTGGAATAGTGACTTACGGCAGATTTTTGGTTCTTCCCACATAGTTCCCGTTCTTGTGGGGTTTTCGGAATGGTCGAGTTCCCGTAGAATTTTCAGGATAAAATCTATATATTTTTTTATTCACAATAAAGTACTCTTAACCAACAACATATTTCTTTATTTATTTGAATATGGATTAATATTATTATGTTGATACAACTTAAACAAATTATTTCGAATAAATAAGGTACCATAAAAACGGTTTTTGTGAGTTAATCTTAAAAGATAGACATATACTGTCGCGGAGTGTTTTTTAGATCATTAAAAGAGCTATTATTCTTTGATACATATTTTTTGTGTATCTTGAACCGTTTTCACGGCGCACGCAACGGAAGGCTTCAAAGATGAAATAATTTCTCCCGTTTTTTACACATTTACCACTATATCTTTGCTCCTATTGGTCGTAGCGTGATGTTATATAGCTTAAAGCCTTCCTCGATAACTGGACTATCCAACAAAAAAAGAATTATTCAATTCGAAACAGTAGTTTCGGAGATTAGCGCTTTCAAACAAACAAACAAACTCTTCAGCTTTATAATATTAGTATAGATTGATTGGTAAAACTGGGTCTTAATTTGCGTCCTATGCATAATAATTAAGTGAAATATAATGTTACAATTTTCAGTCACCTCAATAAAACAACCACATACGTGGCACCAGAAGGTTGTTCCTGCGAGTCACCACCAGCTCCTCGGGATGTGGTTCTTGAGAGAGATCCAGAACTCGGCTTCGGTTTCGTCGCTGGTTCAGAAAAACCAGTTTTGGTTCGTTTTGTCACCGACAACTCACCCAGCGTCGGAAAGGTATATTGATATAAAATTACCTCATCTGAATCTAAAAAAAACATCGCAGTTATTTAAATTTCGTTTCAAACTTACATTACATTTAACTCTAATTATAAATTATGCTCCAAAACGGAAAGGCACATTGTTATATCCTCAATCTAAATAAAAATTTACAATTAACTGAATTTCCTTTCAAACTTACATTTAATTTGAACGTAATGATAAATCATGCTCCAAAAATAAATGCAATTGAAAAGCAGCACTTAACATTAACGATCGCGATATTTTGTAGACCATAAAACAGTGATTTAGCAACTGTACAATACATAAACAGAATCCAAGTATCATACAGATAATGACACATTACGTTTGATAAAGTACATCGATGATGCCACACAATAATTATAATCTTTACCCGCTGAGTTTCTTTCGCCGGTTCTTCTCAGGTCAGGGTATTTTCCGAACCGGTGGTAGTGTCTCAAGTGACCATCAATAAGAAAGTGTAATGTTTCTATATTGAATAAAGTTATTTGAGTTTGAGTTTCTGCAAATTCCAGTTGGAACCTGGTGATCAGATCCTTTGTGTGAATGGCGAGGATGTAAGTGCAGCGGCTCGTGAACATGTCATCTCAGCAGTTCGAGCTTGTACGGATCGTGTAACCCTGAGAGTATGCCAGCCAGCTCGTAGTGGAGATCCAGCCAGGAAGTCTGCCTTCCTCTCAGCTGCTAAACGAGCCAGATTACGTGCAAGGCCGCCCAGGGTCAGGTTTGCAGATTCGGTACAACTGAATGGAGCACCTATGTATCCAGTGAGTATTTTAAAGTTTTTTGGGTATAGAAAACGGTCTTAGCATTTATTTATTTATTTATAAGGATAACTTACAAAACATACACTATTTATAAGTTTTAAAATAAAGGTAATTACATTTTTAGTTAAGTGTATTTTCAATTAAAGGTTATCACGGCATGGAAAAGGACAGTATTTTCTATTAACCTAACACAACTTTTTTTTCTACTTCTATTATACAAAAGGGGACAACAAGTAGTACCAATAATAATACAATATAAAATGTAAATAACAAAAGACAATAACAAATTACCAACTTATTACTAAAGAATTAAACAATTAAAAATAAATAAAAAGAAACTTTTGTTTTTTAGGATATTTAAATAGGATGATAAAACTTAATCTCTATTCCAAAACATACACTTGAAACAAAACTAGTTAGAAAAATTACTTTATTAATAATTTATTATAATTTTTCAGCCATCAGCATTCTCTTTGGGCGACCTCTGCCTTCCTCCTATGGCTAATGTTCTAAAGGTGTTTTTGGAGAACGGTCAAACGAAATCGTTTAAGTACGATACTACAACCACCGTGGCTGATGTGGTGACCAGCTTGAAGGACAAGCTGTGTATAACAGCTGAAGAGCATTTTAGCTTAGTCGTGGAACATGTGAAGAGCTTGAAGAGGAATAAGCTGACATTATTGGATCCGAAAGAATCTTTGGCCAGGGTCAGTAAAGGTTATATTTTTTTCAAATTTTGGTGTTTCTGTTGGGTCTAAGAAATCAAAAGGAATGCTTTATACAACTAAACTTTGATAGAACTTAAAGTTACACCCTTTTTATTAATTTATTAAATTGTTTTATGCAAATGAAATTCATGCAAGCAGAAATTTTACATTTCCATTTCATTGTTAAGATCTTTGTCGTTACTCTAATTCTCTCAGATGGTTTTTGTCATTTTCTTTGAGAATTAGAACTATTTGCCCATGTACGAGTTGGACGCTTTAACATTATGACGTATACAATTCTTCACAAATCATGTGCTAGGAAAAGTTTTTCATGAATTTCCGAACTATAAATTATTCTTAAAGTAAGTAGTATTAAGTCCCAGGCACTGTTGAAGCTAATGGGACTTTCAAATAAAACAAGATTTCTTTGGTTTAACTCAATATTTTAATATATAAAGAAAAACACCACTAACATTTTTACATTGTAAGTTAAGTAAAAAGCAAGCGACATCTGGTGAGATATTAACAAACTTTTTCTTTTCTTAAAGAAATATTGATATTATGTGTGTTTCAATATACGACCAATTAGCATAACTATATAATATTTAATCCAACAGTCTTTTCTCCCTGCAACAATGGTCTCAGCATTCGCATAAGAATCCATTGAATGCTGATAGGTTTCCTCTCAATATTATCTTCGAACATTCCAGATTGCAGCTCGTCCCGGTTCCCACAAGATGCGTTGCTTGTACCGCGTGGTGTTCATGCCGTCATCAGCTGCTGAACTAGCGCAGCGGGACGTCGCTGCACTGGATTACCTCTACACCCAGTGCTGTAACGATGTAGCCCAGGATCGGTTCGCTCCGGAACTACAACCCGATGTTGCGTTACGCCTCGCTGCACTACACATACACCAACACGCGCTCGCTCACAACATGTCCCCAGCTAAGCTGACCGTCAAAGTTGTTGAGTTAGTTCATTTGTATTCTTTATATATATCCAAAATAATTACGAACAAAACAATCTTAATTTGAAAACATACATGAAATCTAAGACTTTCGCGAGTATTCTTTTAAATGAATATTATATTATTCGAATTACTTAGTTATATATAATATTAGTTTCGTTTAATTGAAAATAGAATATTAGTTTCATTTAATTGAAACCGTAAAATATATCGTTACATATTTATTCATAGATCAGATTTTTGTTCTTCTTGCCTTATATATATTTGATATCAATAAAATGAAAAGATGCTTCTAAAACCATCAGTATTTCAGTTGTGATATTGAGAGAACTTGTCTAGAAAAAACAGTACCAAATAGAAAAAAAAACAACTCCAAATGTTTTAAAATCTAAAATATATAAATCTAAAATATATAAACTCTTAATTAGAACTAACAAATATGTAGTATAACATAATCAAAGGGACAGAAAAACATTTTAGGTTTTTAGTTTAACAATAATATTACATTCTATTGTAATCGTATTAAAACTACGAATGACATTTTAATACTGTCTTCATTTTTGCATCCTTTTCTTAGCTAACATATTCTATTTTCGATCCCTTTCACACAACGACTAATCTTGCATCTCTCTCTCTCTCTTTCACACTCTAACGGTTACACTTCATCGTATATTAATTGTATAACAATTCACAGATAATATAAAAAATGTTTAGACAGATAATTAATTATTCGCCTTAAACTACATTCTTCGTATTTTGTTTTTCCAGACGTGAGTTCGGTCTGGAGCGTTTCGTTTCCAGCAGTCTCTTGGAGAGCATGAAGCGCAAAGAACTTCGTCGGCTGGTGGCGCACTTCCTCAAACTGAACGCTCAGATGACAGGAGGGCAACGACATCTTACACAGCTACAGGTACTGAAAATATTGACAATTTTCTAATAATCATCATATTAACTCAAGTCAAAAATGAATCACCAGAATTTACCAGTGAAATAACCATGATAATAAATAAATAAATAAATGATTAATCAGAGAATAATTGCATTTTGCTAAGTTGTATTAATAGTGCAATTTACAATCGGTTATAGCACTTATTATTTACTATGGTAAATATATTCTCCTAAGTTTAATATCGTTAGCAGAATTTTACTAGTGCTATGACAATGGACTTGAATACTTAAAAATAATATAAAACGCACAGTACATACGAAAGTCTTTGTTTTATCTAAATGAATACACGCGAATATTTTATATCGGATTGAATATTATGATATATTATAAATGATCAGCGTAGTATCTAAATATGGTTACTACGCTGATGATCGTACTATTGTACGGTTATAATTTTCTAATCTCCTCTTCCTGCAACGCGATGGACCTGGCACCAGCATGGTGAATCCATGAAATGCTGAGAAGTTTCGTCTTTCTATAGACACGAAAAAATTTAAAATCCAGCGCCATCCACAAAACCTTGAATATTAGTAATATTTTTTAGGCTAAGCTACATTACCTGGACACAGTCAGCGCCCTGCCCAGTTACGGCGCGAAGTGTTTCAGCAGCGCGCGGCCTGAGAGGGTGTTGCTAGTGTCACCGAGGTTTGGACTCTCACAGATTGTAGGGAGAAGCAACTCTGTGGTAAGTTTGACTGTGTATTATAATTTGACATTAATGTTTTCTTATTGTAAATGACAATACAATTCCTGAAACTTTTGTGGCAGCGTAAAGTTTTCTAAACGTAACTGTTCTTGATAGTAAAAAATGATTAAAAGTTTTTTTTCTTTGGTAAATGTATTGATAGAAAACGAGTTCACTAAAACGAGTCACCAAAGTTGTGAGAATATAAAATATCGTTTCACGATATCCTGTCGACAGTAATAGATGAACCGTCTACATATTTCCTAATTAATCATAATAACCTTCACTTGCATTTGATGAGCATTAAGTCTAACCAACCATACAGCTCTCTAATTTTTCACATTAAAATCGTATGATTACTTTCTGCGTATCCAAAACGTTTACCTGGTTTATTTATTAAGGTATTAATTAATAATACTTCTAAATAACCTTCCAGCCTCAAGCCATAGCGTCTATAGAGGAGGTGGAGTGTGTTCGTGTTCGAGGGTCGTGTGTGTCGGGAGGTGGAGCGGATGTAGGGGTGTTCTTGACCCGGGACCGCGTGCTCGCTCTACTAATGGATGACCGGGACGCAGCGGAAATGCCACTCGTCATTGCCGGGTAAGACACGAAGTTATATTCACCAAGTTATATCAATGAAGATAATATTGTCTACTTACGGTCTTCTTCTTCTACCTGGCTATAGCCAGGGTCTGCCTTAACATGTTGTGAATAGTTTCGGCCAATTGTTTTTTACGACCGGCCGCCTGCCTGACATCAACCCTCTTTTTGGGAATGCATTAATCAGTGATGTCTTAATATTCTTAGAAAGTACATATGACTATATTGTCTACTTACGGTATCACACTTTATTAAGTATGCGTGAAATAACAAGACTATACTAGTAGAAATAGTTCGTTTTGTTCAGTGTCTATTACAGTACTGAGTAAAAAAATGAAAATGACATGGTATTTATGCTAGGCACAATATCATGTACCGTCATGTTCGTTATTAGAAAGAGTAGACATTTAAAGTGAGTATGGTCTGTAGAAATTATATAAGTACGAAAAAGATATTCATTTTATTATAATTTACAATTAAAATACAAAGGACATTAATAGAACTATTTAATCTTAGAGATAATATTGAGTAATTTCAATTATCAACTCTCCTGCTATCTAAGGAAAAGAAAGTCTTTTAATAACGGACAAGTCAAATACGATAGTTGAATATATGTAATGATAATATAATGACATTAAACTTGATTTTCTTATATTTTTAGTTACTACCGCCTCGCTACGGGTCGAGAACTGAATGTAGAATTGGAGAGAGAACCAATAACCGAGGATATAGGTATGAAATCTTCATGACACATACGAGATAATTAATGTATTAAATACTGAATCTTCGGATAAAGGAATTCAATTATCCTTGAATTTACTGAAAGATTACTCCTTACAAAAAACAAAAATACATAATGTCCTTTCGCAAATGACTGTTCCTGCTTGATTTAATAACTTTAGACTAAAATCTTTAATTAAAAATAAGGTCTATATTACTTTAATAAAATATCAACAATTGTTCTTTCAGCCCCGCCGTATCTATCACAACACAACGTGGTCCCGACCAAATGGAGTTATTTACACTACAACGATCCTATAATGTTAACGAAGAAACATTACGCGATCTTCAGTATGCCGCCTCCTTATCATTCAACACCAGATCAAGCAAAGACTAGCTTAGACACTAATATGAACACGAGCATCGCTAATAGAAATCACAGCAATAACTCCAGTCCTTTAGTCGGCTACGATTCCAAACCCGGTCTACTGGGATACGATATACACTTCGAAAAGTGTAAAAGAAATGAAGATTTCCGTCTTTTCGATCCCAACGACGCTTGCTATCTCGACGACGGCATGGGATTTGATCTACAAAGTGTTTTATCGATGGAATTATTAGAGAACGCCAACAACCCACGACTAGTTGAGGCCAAGAATGAGGAAGTGTTGCGAAGGGTGGCGGAAATGCAGAAACTAGTTGAGAATTCTGAACAGTATTTGACTGAAAACTGTGATGTTTTTAATAGTAGCGGTTATAACGGTGTTCTTAGAGACGAATTAGTGGGTAAAGAGACTTGCGTAGATAATACTGAGAGTGATACAGAATCGAACAATAGTAAGATGTCCGCTGCGGACGACGCGCCCGGAGTTCTAAAGCATAGTGACTCCTTGCTCCTGTTGACTGAAACTATTAACCAAGGACTGAATAGCGGTAACGTAGACACGCAAAAACAATACACTTCTACAGATCTAACTCAAAGACAATCACAAGGACTCAGTGCAATACTCAATAATTGTGGTTTCACAGACGCTTTATTAGCTCTTAATAATGACGTTGGCTTCTCTGAGAGTGATAACGACTCAACGTACACTCCTACAAGTAGTCCGATACGGAAACATCTAAATAAATCGACGAATAAGGCAGTTAGGACTAGTTTTGGTCTGCATAGTCCAGACGCAACATTAGACACTAAAGAATCTAATTTAAAACAATATTTGAAACAGCTCAGAGAAAAGAGTGACAGGGAGGAGAGTGCAGCTGAATTTCCGTATTTTTACCAAGAGAGCTTAATAGAAAACGATGCCGAGCTTATAGACTTAACATTAATACCCCCACCACAGACGCCTGATGAATTAGACTGCGCAACGCAAGTGCCTCAAATATTACCTATCGTACCACCTTCTTTTGCTGATGACAAGGAGACAGAACAAGACAATACACCTAAAAGTAAAGAGCTAGAGGAATTCATCGCTAATGTAACGGTTCAACCCCCGACAGTTAAAATAACTCCAGCAATAGAACTCACGCCGGAAGAAATTATGTCCTATATTATACCACCGCCGCCAGGTTCAAACGCGTCTACTTTAGATAGAGATCCAATTAATAATGTAAGCCAAGCAAAAAACACTAACAGCAACGAAGAACATAATAATACAAATGACAAAATGTCCAACGGTGAGGTAGTTAAAGGGGTTTTAAGTGTGAGTGAAATCAGAAATATGTTTGCCTCAAAACAATTAAGTGACGCTAGAAACAGTTTATTATTAAAAGAAAAAAATAAAGCCGACTCCCCGAAGAGCAAGCGAAAGAGTTTAACCGGAGATAAACAATCCAATGGAAACGCACACGTTATAGAATACCCCACTGTGGAAAGAAAAGGTATGTTCTCATGTTGCAGCAAAGACAAAAATAAGAACGACGATCTTTGTGAGGAAACAGAGAAAATCGAAGGTCATATAACAAACTCAGACTCGATGCCCGATGTCTGTGAAATCCGACCTCCTCCGAGACGAAAAGGCAGTGAAATTCGGAAACCTCCAGAACGACCTCCGAAAATGCCTCCCACGCCCTCTCCGAGACCTAGGTCGAATTCATTCACGTGCCCCAACAATGAACTTAGCGCTGTCGAATTCACGAGCTCCCATTTCAATACATTAAATAATAAAAAGTTAAATTATAGAGTGGTCTGTGAAATGAATGAAGGTATACATACGCCTCCCCAAATCCCACCGCGGATAGAAAATAGAACACTTTCACCTCCCCCACCACTATTACTGCCACCTAAAAAACCTCCGCTACCCCCCGTTCCAAGTATAGAAGTTTTAAGAATCAAAAATTCCCAGAAACTATCACCCGTTCGGGCGACCGAGCGGCTGGCTAGTATCGGGTCGCCACATTTTCACAGAAATCTCAATACATACCGGAATCTCGAAAACGAAAACAAGCTAACCGATGACGAATCCCACAATCCGAGATCTCAGAATAACAATTCAATGACGCTACAAAATCGCCACGTACGTTCAAATTCTGAGACTAAGAGTACGATATTGAAAAATAAGAATATGTCAACGGCGCTCTCTCTGTGTTCACCTCAAATGAATCGTCGGTTTAGTAACAGACCTGACTTATTAAACGAGGCTCCCGTTAGCGATCAGAGGCTATTCAGTCCTCCTCTCGTTGAACGAAAGACTCTAAGACGGGACAGCGCGAGTCCCACAGGCAAGGTTCAAAATCACGTGAGGTTCAAAGAAGACGTCGTAGATGACATCCCCACTCCACCTTCTCCGCCCACGGTCAAATTCCCGGAGTTTCAATCTGGTAACAACGGACATGTATCCATAGAGAACTTGTTGTGCAAAACCGAAGTGGCTGTAGACGGGTTACTGCAGAGATTACACCAGGTGGCGCAGAAGTGTTCACATCAACACGCACACGGGGGAGGAGAAGACATCGATGAAATTAAATTCCAGGTATATTACGATTTATGTATTTAAAAAATTACGACTACATAACCAAAATGATAAATCCTTAGTATGATAAAATAGTTTATTGAGAAGTAATTTTTTCTCTTCTTTTTCTAATTGGCAATTTCCCGGCTTAGCCAGGGTCTGCCTATGTTGTAAATAGTTTTGGCTAATTTTTTACGACCGGCCGCCTGCCTGTCATCAGCCCTCTTTGGGAACCCTGTTTTAATCAGTGATGTCTGAATACTCTTAGAAAGAATTTGTTGAGAAGTAATTTATTATTATTTAGTCTTATTTTTCTACTGGAATCAAATCAGAAATGTTTTTTCTTTCAGCGTGCTCGATCAGAACTAACAGCGTGTGCGGTTTCTCTTGTGGGTGCGTCACGTACTTTAGTCGGAGCGTTAGGAACCTCTCAGGAAGGTCCTCCAGGCCTATCGGCTCCCGCCGCCCTCCCTGACTGCCTCACACCATTACGACGCCTAACAGATTTGGCACAGGTACTATATAACATTTTAACCTTTACAATAGTTTAATTCAAATAAAAAAGAGAGACAAACAAGATAGACCCTGTCTAAAGCGGGAAATTGCCAGGAAGAAGAAGAGTTTCATTCAAATAAAAAGCAAGTTTCATAAACACAATAAAATACAAAATATCAATCAGAAATTGAAGTTCTTTGAAAATTTTGTATCTTACTGAGGCTTATTTAAAGATAAATAACTATTTGAAAGTTCTTAACATATAACTTTAGGGAGGTACTTTAATAATTTATCTATTTTAGGCTCTAGGGAAGCACACTTCATCGCCGCTTCAAACCAGAAACTTGATCCTCCGAGTTCATGACGTCACCGCCGCCTTCAAAGACTTAGCGGGTGCGGAGATGGCGCAAATAATACACGAACATAACTCGAAAGATGTGACCCAAGGGCAGGGTCAAGACTCTTCTACTCTCGAGGGTCAACTGGCGCTAAGAGCAGAATGCCTGGCGAATGTTCTAGCAACTCTATTGCGGAGTCTTAGGGTATTTTCACCTTAAAAATCCAAATATCGGCAGCTTCATCACGTCTTGTAAGTCGAGACAAAATTAATAGTCACTTGTATCGGTTATAAATAAATGTGTTGTAGACTAAATATAAATGTTAGTGTTATGTTCTGTTAAACCATTATCGAAATGAGACCAAATAAAGTTAGATATGTTTATAATGTTTTCATTAAGTTGTAGTTTTGTAAATTTTAAAATACGGTCGGCGTCGTTCGAGCTGTTATGTTTGTAGGTCCGTAGGAGATTCGTTTGTGAATATGTTGACATGTTAATGAGTCCCGCGACTAATATATTCCATAAATGTTACCATAATATAAATCTAGTAATATATCATATCTGTTCACATAATCAATGAAGTGTATATTATATTATTAATATTGAAGTATGTGTGGTTATAGTAAGATGCGAATGAAATCATCATATCCTGTAAGTCGAAATTGTTTTACGTGTAACGCATTCCGACATTTTGTTTGTATCTGTGTTGCTAGTTGTAAAATATTTCAAACTTGCTGTGCTAATATGTAATATTGGTGCTATTTTAAAGTATATGCGTTATCGATCGGCTCGTGCACCAGTGATTTAATTTTTTTAATATATTTTATTGTAAATGAACAATGCAACCCTATGCACACCTGTTAGTACAATTTATCTGTTTCTTTTTCTTTACCAGTATTTAACCAAAGACAAGTTCTTTTTTTTATTTTTATCTTAATTTATGTACAAATTGTTCATTCCGTTAAGTATATACATACTTCAAAATATATCGTTGTTATAATCATAAAAGTTATTTCATTTCATCACGATACTTATTGAACTAAATGTTGAATTTATTTATTGTATATTTTAAATTTTAATATTCAATGCATACATCTTTCTTAGTAGGTGACCCTCTTGTTTTAAATGCAGCAAGACTTGCTTTACTTATATAAAATTACAAAAGTATATAATCCTTTTAGCGAAATATGTATGCATTTATATAAATAAATGTTAATATGTAAGTGTTTAATATACAAGGTATGAACCACACCAATATATTTATTGATTTAAATTGCAATGCAATGCATTTGATGTAATAAACTATTAATACAATTAATTTTGTTAAATTTTATTTTATAATAGATTACGTTATTACTGATTCTACAGATTATATAACACATATCTTCATTGTTGGTGTTGCTATATAATAAATTTTGGATTTATTTTTCGTTCTACTCTACAAAATTATAGAAAAATGTAAGTAGCTATACAGCCAGAGACAATTCTGTTATATCTTTGTTGAATAGTTTAAAATTCTACTGTCTAATTTATTACAGGAAAATATTATATACTTTAAAGTGAAACAGAATATTGTTAAAAAAAAATCCCTTTTATCTTTTGACATTTGTCACAAATTAATGAATTCAATGAATATTTATAAAATTAAACCTATTTTGGAAGAACTATTCTTATAAAAAAAAATTACCTCGTAGTAGAAACTCTGACAATCAAAAATGACTTTTTTTGCGAAAATTCCACGTGTATACATTTTTACTAATAGATATTACTAGATTAAAAGTAGACAACAACATTTCACCAAGTTTATTGAAGCGGCTTTTTTTTGCTTATATAAAAATACATTTTAATAACATTTCACACAAACCACACAACCTTTCTTTTCCTCGACGGAGAGTATATAGAAAAAAATGTAGTCTATATTCGTTGGTTCTTGATTTATATCTTAGAATAATACTAGAAATTCCTCCAAGGAGTTTTATTAATAATAAATCAGTAACAAAACCTATATTTTACTCGCATTTTTTATACAAAAACATTGAACGAACTGTCCATACAACAGCAATACTTCCTTCAGTGACATCGTATCTTACAAGCACTGAACCCAAACAATTACCAGTTCATGTAATAACACAATACAATGTAGTGTACAAGTAACGCCGGTTAATTTAACCAACAAATATTAACTGAGAAGAAAAATAAAATATCAAGCTATGTCAGTTAAGTCGGGAGCAAGATTTTCACACGATCCCTTACAACCGGTCGGTTGCAAATAGAAATATAGCCTTCAGAGATGTGACGCTACTAATCATTGATAGAAATATAGAGTTCCGTATAGAATTCATATTAATATACAGGGTGACTGGTGAATTACTATCGATATTTGAGGACGTGATATTTGACGATCATATATGACAAAATAAAAATAAATATAACATAAATATTAATAAACTTCTAAGTAAAGTTAACCAAAAGTTATGTAATTAATTACGCATCGTGTGAGCACCCTACAGATTAGGTATACACACACACACACACGTCCACACTTGGAACGTGTCCACACTTTATTTATTTATACGGAAATTTGGTCAAAAATTAAGTACCTATTTTTTTTACATAATTCGAATGAGAATCATGTACCGAGTATTCTCCTTAAATATTGATAGTAAATCACCAGTCACCCTGTATATTATTAATATGTCCGTACCCTAAATTATGAGTTCTAAAGTCTATTGAATTCCTTTCGAAAAAAGTAAAGTCCAATGTCACCACGACTTGACTGTAGTTGTCACAGATGAGAAAGGTCATAGAATCAATAATTAAACCTATATAATTATATTAGAGAATCTTCTTTTATTACCTAGATCTTATTTTCTGAAAAATATCAACTCAAGTAAGTACGTCAAGTATACAAACTTTTTAGTCTCCTCTGTATTTTGTATGTGAGTCTATAAACATAACTGGCCGAAATCATTAAGGTATATGCAATTATTAATTTTGATTGGCTGATCAGTTAAAGTAGTTAGTTAAGATGTAACAAAAGCAAACTCAAAAACGCAAACCCAGCCTCGTGGAGAGATCTAAGACCTATTATTTTTATGTTATTATTGTAATCGTATAAACTGTGGTTTTCAATTTTACTTTTTATTTTAACATATACTCCTTAAATGGTCTCAAAAATTGACGGAGATCAATATATATCAGTGATTAATTATGAAACAATGCTTTTAATAGTTAAATTTATATAATGTAATTGTTATATAAGTACTAAGGATCTCTAAAACTATCCACTTATACGATAGATACCCAAGACGCGAGAAACAAGACGGACAAAAATAGTGCATTATTAAAGACAGATTAATATAAAAAGATAAGATACTAGATGCTATAAAACAAAGTAAGAACATACCTCACAAGAGATAATTAAAGATTACGTTGGTTAATATTACGCGAATGACAGATAGTTGCCAAAATCAGGAAGTCTCGTTAGCAATAAAGTTTAATTATTCCTCATAATAATATAGCATCTACTTGCTAGCTTTCGTTGGTGGGATGGATAAAAATGTTTAGTATTGAGTGTCCGCCATCTTTACGTATCCACTTGGTGTTTCAGACCCAGTTTAGCAAACCTTATTATTTTTATCATCAAACCACAATGTTACCATTAATCTAATAAACAAGTGCCAATTAAACTATTTACTGTATGAATAAATAACATATAAAACCTTTTTTATTATATCCTTTGAAATACGATTCCATTGTAGATTTTTTCTTTTCAATCGACTTGTATGTGCTTTTGAGTTTATTCTTAAAAACCATTTCATCCATATAAGTGTTCAAATTATAAAATAAGTACAAAGATTTTGTTTATTTTCTTTTAAAAAGTCATTACGAAATCAATTGGTAGCGTTGAATCTTAGTGCATTAAGAGGTTTTTCAGATAGATATTATTGTACAGGATAAAAATGTACGCCATTAAACTAAATTATTATTAAACAAAGAATTCTCTTAAGTTTACTTGCACTAAGTTAACTGACTCTTAAATACAATACAGTTTTTTACAATACCAACTGTCACGTCGTTGAGTTAAAGGTCCACAATTATAATAAACGTCAAATGCTAGCGACCTCGTGAACTTTATCACATGGCTGATGCCCAGTTATTTAATAAAATGTAACAATAACTAAAGAATGTATTATCATATGATAAAACAATGAATATTCATAATATTTTCTTTATTTTAATATCAAATATGACTCAACAACTTGACTTACAAGAAACGATGCTTGTAACTTAAAATGATAGATCACAATTGTGGTATAATCTTTTGTGAATGATCAATTTTAAGTTTTATGTAATCTAACGTACATTATGTACTTGTAATAGTACATTGTGAATGTAATTCCAGGTCGTTAATCTTTAATTTTCTATAAGTTTTAAGTCATAGTTAATCCCGGGGGTTCTGAAGGGATTGTAAAATGACTTCGACTTGCAAGCAAGGGCAACGTCCGAGAACAGGTTTTCTAATCGGTATATTTCTGCGTCCGATCGACCGAAGAAAAACTTAGAATAAGTGCAATGGCTGCAGAAGGTTCTGGAATGTTTATTATTATTGAAAAATTACTTTCTACCATCCACTATTACTGAACTTTCTTTAATCTCTACTTACTAATAATAAGGCTAATAATATTAGGATATATACAGAAATTTACTATCATGAATTCGTATTTATTTTGGAAATATTAAATTAATATTAAATATATTATATCTTTTATATTTTGTAAGCTTATAACCAACAGACAGTGTTAATTCAATCTTACGATTTGACTGTGACCCAGTTTTGTACAATCAATTGAAATGAAACAGGATACATATCAACATTAAGATAAATAAAAGTTCAACAACGAACTCATTTTTATTAAAAGATCAGTAATCTAATATTAATATAAAAATATTTTCTTTTCATTACATATATTTATTTGTTTAAATACATTCTTATACATATCTCGACGATATAATCAAAATGTACGTACATAAACTACTAAAACCCAAAACCAAAGTAAACTAAGAAGCTTTTTGTTTACATTCATTTAAAATTTTCATATTACATTTAAATGATGAACTAATTTTAAATGAAAATAAAATCGTATAAAATTTTTAAAGTTATCACAGGCGAAGATTATTCAATACTTAAAAAGATATTCCATTTAATAAAAAATACTTTTAATTTACATTCATCTGATCGTAATTAAAATGTGACATATATATGAAACTTAACATAATATATTAAGTATAAAAATGAAGACAGAGTTGTACAGATGTGTGCTAACTTTCGCCTGACACGACTCGGCTCAGGCATTTCTCTTCAAGGTCGCTATAACCCGTCCCAATCGCAAATTCACTTCACCGGGCCGGAGCATCAACAAGGAATATTACATAACTACCATCATACACTCACATTACTACAGCAATCACTCACGATCAAAAAATCAATGAAATAACGCACAATATAATACATATTTTATACAATAAAAAGAAAAAGATATATTAATAAACGCTTGATTTAATCATGTTGCAATTTAATTATAAATCTTACGATAAATTGTTCAATCAATGTATATTATAACTTAAATCTGATCATTTCCTTGATCTCACTTAACATTGTTAATAAAACCTTTTAATGATTTTAGGACTGTAAACATTATTTTTGATCATACTTATAAATCTGCCATAGATGTCCACCTCATAGAACATTCTAGAAGTCGTGTTATATCTAATTCATCTCATATAATCTATAATTCAAGAAGACGTCTGATAAAGAGGAGTCGTTCAAGTGTCGCGAATAAATCAAAAACTCACATGAACCGCAGTTATCAAGTTCCTTCCTACCTGTTTCACGAGCGCTAAGAACTTTTGCCGTCAATGTACCAGGCTGGCACGTAACTTACAAAACGCCTGACATGTCCAAAAAATTGTACAAAACTAAACATTAATTATAGATTATTAGAGTGCATTTTGCTTTGAAATGCATGTGGAGTTAGGATGTTATTTAGTGAGGTCAGCGAGTGGTCAATAACAGTGGTGTAGCAGCAAAAACGTTCGCAGACAGGGACAGCATTCCTTCAACTCCGCTTTCCTCGGGAACATTAGAGACGCAGCCCAAGGGATTGTTAGAATCGCTGGAGTTTGCGAGATGCGTGCTATATGAAGCTTTTTACTGACCACACTCCTGGAAGGAGACTATTTTTCTGTTTAACTACATAACGATCACAATTCGATGTTTCTCTGGATAACATTTTATGGCAGCGTCTACATTAAAGCATCCACATTGGTGAATTGTTTTGGAATTCAGTGAATTAAAAAATGCATATATTGTTTTGAAAATAATTTCAAGATAACAAATGACACAGAAAAATAAATAAATGGAGTAAATTTAAGTACATTTATTACCGCAAATGGGTTCTAATACTATTGTACTAAACTAGACTGCTCAACGCAGCTTCGTATATCAAAAATACAATATTACTCAGTAGAACAATGTTTTCGCTCTTAAATTGTTTTTGGCTTTTTAAATTGAGGTAGAGGCTTCAATAAAACAAATTATAAAAGTTTTTCAACTCAAAATGTTATAAAAATTTAAAGTTTTTAAATGGAATTTAAAGTTTCAAAAGATTTCATAAATATTTTTGTTCAATCAAATATAACCTTTTCAGAATATTGCACAGAAAATAAATATAAAAGACATTGATTTATAATAAGTAAATTTCTTCTGCTGTCTGTACGTAACTGTATGTCAAATTGTAATGGCGTTACGACTGAAAACTATCCAGATAATACAATCTAGATTATTATGTTTAAACAATCCCATAATATCGATTTAAACTTGTCATTTGTTTGAAATTCCCGCTATAGTTGACTTATTACATTTCTTATTCATGGGACAGATGTTTTAAATTTATAAATAAATGTTAGGTGCAATAAAAATTTATTAATTATAAACATTATTTAAGAAAAACACATACTTTTTATGTATATTTAATAAACAATAAGAATATATGTAAAAAATTTTGGTAAGCTTTTTCTTCATGATAGAAAGAAACCTTGAAGAAGATTATTAATTAAAAGTATAACTAAAAAGTGTTTTAGTGTAATGAACGGCGTAGTTTTATGAGTTAGTGAAGCGGCTTTTGTTAATACTAATAATCGAAGATCCCAGAGCCGGTGGAACTTACTTATTTTCTGTTGGACAAAACATTTATAATAAGCTAGTATTAGTGTGTACAGTAAACGTAAACATATCTCCTAGCTTATATTGATGGACAATTTACATGTACTAGGTGCTACTGCTAAAAAAAGTACTCTCTTTACCTATAGAGTGAGGTTTGATAAAAATCAAAACGTAAAAACGTATGTTGTAGGAAATATTGTAAGCAATTTAAAATGAATACAGATAGACACTTTCTATTGGCAGACTTTTTGTCAGACGCTTTACATATCGACGAAAAAAAACTGCATTGTGACACTTTATTTCCAAATTTAATATTTAGGGGGCTATTTGAATCTATTTCGTAAATTGCTAGAACAATCTTCGGGGCCAAACATCTATCATCCATTCAATCATCTATCTAGCAAGCATGCACGATAATAAAGAGCCACTTTTAATCTGCTCCATTAATTTTATATAGTAATTCGCCCAACGAAAGCGTTTAATAATAATTAAATAATTTAATACCATTTAATCGTTCAAACTATTGCTGAATAATGGTAAAATCGTAAGATTTTAACTGTCGATATTTAAAGTGTCTGCTAAAAATTCTGCCAACAGAAGGTATATCAGTAATCATTTTAAATTATCTACAATATTTCCTACAACATACGTAAAAATCAGACTTCACACTATAGGTAAAGAGAGTACAATTTTTACTAATAGCACCTGGAACATGTGAATTGTTCGACAGTACATATAAGCTAGATATATTTACGTTTACTGTACACACTAATACTAGCTTATTATAAATGTTTTGTCCAACAGAATATAAGTAAGTTCTACCGGCCCTGGGATATTGGACTTTAATAGTTGAAGTATATTTCTATCTCAACTGTATATGGAAATATATTTTGACTCTAGCTATGGTCTGTCACTTTTGGTTATTATATTAAAATCGTACCTTCTTTTGCTTTCATTCAAACAGTCAAGATTTTTCTATTTTTGGCTACAACGAAGGCTTTTTCAAAATCTCTTCAGCAGTTCCTAAGATATCTTACAAATAATATATTTGTTCCAACAGAGTCCTCTCAGAATGTATGTTTAAAATAATAAATTACGTTCCCATAACAAGAAATATAAATATACCATCAATACTCATTTATACGCCTTCGATCTGCATCACATAAAGGGACCTTAAAGGGCCAGCTTAACAAGAATGTCATTTATATGCTGGATGCTGGAGCAATTCGAGCTGCATCTAACGCACACCTTATAAAGAACTTGTCAATTTATTGGAGATGTACATTCACGTGGAACCACGAGCTCTAGTTTTCTGCTCGTCCTTTTTGCTTTAAAGTCTCATGCTCCAAGTTTTATTATTAATATTAAATGCTTACATATTCTGTTAATTAAAATTAAGATTTAAGAATAGAAAAAGCATTGCATCTGATTTTCGTTTGACATAAGTTATATAAGTTATCAAAATACATATTTTTTTGGCAATTAAAAATGCATCCATAACGAAATGATGCAGTTTTATATATATATTACAAATGACAACATTTAATGCAAATTCCACAATGCGTCAAGGAAAATAGGAACGCGGAAGCATGCAGCCTAGCCACGGGGTCAATGACACGAGCTGATTTCAAATCTCCTTACTTTATCTGAATCATATATTTTATAGGACCATATTATTTACCAGCCTGGAGTTGCACTGAATGGAAGAAACTGGTTTAAACGGAAAGAAGAAATAGAAAGAATCTAATATATAACCATTTTGTTAAACTTAGAAATAGCATTGTATGTTAAATTCATTACAAAAGCCTTTAATATTGTGAAACGTATCGATATTGTATACGCTATTTTACTACGTGTGTGTCTTGGTGTGTATGTATAACACAATCTAATTATCTATTTCGTGGAAACAATATCTTTTGTTTTAGAACAATATTTATATTATAATAAATTGTTACCACTTAGAGCTCGTCGTACCTAACAGCATCAATTTCAATGTTTTCTGATAGATTATAAATGAACAACTTTCAAATACTCGGAAACAGTCAGTCAAGATATTAAAGAAAATATTTTCTAAGGAACTATCACTTTAACAGATTAAGCATGAAGTCGCAACATTCAAAGTCATGTTCCTATTACCATCAGTAAAGATTATGCATGAAAGTGATTTATTTACAAAAAGTATTCTTGTATAAGCATAGACTAAAATCATTATTTTCAAACATTTAAATCTAACATACTAAAAACATATTACAAAAAAAATGTCATTCACATGAGTATTAATATCAAATATTATTAATAATACGCCAACAAACAATTCAACGAACATGAAGTACCTATAGTATTTATAATGTTTTTTCTACGTCGCAATAATTCAATACTATAAATAAGTTTGTAAAGTTGTCTCTTCAATAATTCATCCCGCATTCGTTCTAAGAGTTCAAGGAGAAAGTATTCAATTTAATGAAAATAAATATCGACACTGAAAACTTTACAATACTGAGGATTATGATATTTATGTAATAAAATGGTTTAATATATCAATACAACTACTGTCAATATATAAAAAGAACCTTAATCATACAGCCGATTTTAATTTTTATTATTATATTGTCTAAAATAAAATAAAAATACATTTATTTTTATAATCTACACTTTCTCAATATGTGACGTTTGACAAAACAAAGACTAAAAGTAAAAACTAATTTATCTGTACAAATATTACAGATTATATAATATTAAATGAAGTGAGTGAGTGAATGAGACTAAGAAGTACTTCTAAAAGTGAATTATAGTTATAAATGATGTCTTATAAATATTAATTAAGATTTACATTGTCTTCTAACAAATTCGCATACTTTGGCAATACAAGCTAAATTTGTTAATCTGCAAACGTGGAGTAAGCTGTGCGTGTTCACACTACATATTCAGCATTAAAAGTTTTCACTCACAAATCTTCACATGTATAAAAGGAATAAACATAAAATTGATAATTTTATGAAAAACTGGCAACACTAAACTTAATACTGTAAAAATTTCAAACTGATTTTATAGGTTAAAAACCAAATTTCTACTAAAGTTATAGTTACTGATACTTCTTTTACAGACGTAATACTATTCGTTTCTCATATTTATCATATTGTTTAGATCAGAAACTCCCGTTTGATAAAACTTGTCTGTCGTACAAAACACGACTGATAGAGAAACATAATAACTATATGTTTAAAAAGGTATACTTATTGAATGAAATCTTTAAAACGAAGCACGAAATTAATTACCTTATGTTAGAGTTTAAAATTGTATTAAAATTGATTTAAATTAAATATAAAACTTCCTTGAAAATACTAAGTCGTCGAGAAAACTTTAATAAAAACACGAAGAATTTAAAATATTCGGTTTTAAGCTATACAAATTATGGACTGATTTTTAAAGGGATAAAATTGGTTTTTCTGAAAAATATTTTCTTATTGGATATCCGAAATGAAACAAAATAAATCTATATTATTTATTACAATGATTTTTATAATAATATTGATTAAATACAAAGTTATTTTTTAGATGTCCAGTGTCCTGCATCCTCGTTATAATAAACGAGGTGGAATATATTAAGTATAGATAATACAAACCTTTAATGAAACACACTGGACGATTGAAACACTATAATTAATATTAAAAAAAAATAAAACCAAAATTAATATTATTTTTATTAATAAATTATTGTTTTTTATACAAAATATAAATAGAATCATCCTTAAAATATACAAATTAAAAATAGAAAATCTTAATCAACTCAAAGTGAGCAAAACATTTGATAATTTTTTTTGGCTTTTGTCAGTTTGACAATTGACAGCCCGCCAAAACTTGTATTGTAAAACATGGTAGATTTAAATAAAAAAAAATTAAGGTTAAAAATTTTTAAATTATATAGCTATGATAAAAACTTAAGAGATAAAAAATTTCGACAAATTTAAATAAATACTAAGATTATTTAATTTAATATTTTTTTTATATTTATCGTAATGAATATCTAAAATAAATTCGAATACATTTAAAAGGAATATATAAATGTTTCAAGTATATTAAATTTAATAGTAACAAAAAACAATAAATATCTTTAATAAATATTTCTACATTATAGATGATCGTTTTCTCCCCCAGTGTGTTCAAGATGTTTTTTAAAACTCGCCGTATTTCTAACGAAGCCAGCTCCTTCTTCAGATCCAACCAGTTGTCTCTTATTAGAAGTTATTATGGACTAGTTTTTTTCCCCGGCGCGCCACGGGTCGTTACATTATAAACGTGAGAAACATCGGACAATAATTAAACGGATGATAATATATGTTGGAGTTTAAATTATATTTGTAATCGAAATTATTATACATTCTGTCATACAATAGAAACAGCGAAAATAAAAAAACTATTATTTAGTTTGAGAAATAAAAATAATGGTACCTTTTAGTCGTATATCGGAAAACGTATATTAGTTGAAATTCTTTCTAATTAGAAAACAGTAACAAGAGTACTTTCAAATAAACTTTATTAATTAATTGTCATTTTCAAATAAGACCAAGTGACAGTCGATTCTTAAAACGTTTTGTTCCTGCTCTAAATATACATTATATTAAAAAAATAAATTTATTTAATATTTAATAATAATGAAAATATGTATTTCTTTTATATTAATCCTTAAGAAACTACTTTAAAACTAAGGTAAGTAATATATGTACAGACACGTGTTTAGTTTGTAAGTTGAATATACTATTTATTATATTAAACTTACAAACTAAACATTATAATATTTTTTAAACTATTATTTATATACAATTTAACATTCAAGTAGTAATTAAATATTATTGGCCTTAAATCTGAAATAAATGAATTATATTTTAAAATATATATGAAGAATATTATTATACATAAATATTTTAAATTATATTATTATTATTTTCAAATTTTGATCGAATATTAGTCGAGTGTCGCCAGCAATTATCACTCGATGTTTACATAGACGGAGCGCGGGTGAACCCACGGGGTGGACCGACACTCACACCGAACTGTAATCATTAATATCTCTAGAACATTATAATAACAATTAAAATATATAAAACATGCATATTAAACATATATGACGATACTCTAAGCATGGTAAGAATGGTCATAAAATTATGATATGGTAATAAAATCGAATATTACATATCAATGTATTGATAAATCATAATTATTATAATTATAAAAATTTGTATTAAATGATGATGTCTCTAAATTCCTAAACGTGTAATGTCGTCCCGCTGTCAGTACTCGGCGCACGCACACATAGACAGGGCGCGTCGCTACACAGTGTACACACTCACACACAGGCGCGCGGCCAACGTCCCTTAACTTGGTACGGAACGATGGTTATGTTTTATTTATACTTTCTTAGTTCGCGGGATGCGGCCATAGAGTGGCTGCTGAAAATTTTCATTAACAATTATTTTTTATGATATTATATTAAATACGATTGTTACTCGCGATGATATATTTTTTTCGAATATTAATCTTACAAATACTAGTACGTTTAAAATTATAAATTGTTGCTTTAAAGTTTGTTTTTTTTTTTTAATTATCACCAAATTTCCAGTTCTGTTCTCTATCCAGATCAAAGTACCTCGCTGCTTTAAATATTTTTTTTTCAAATATTGGAGAATATATACATTGAAACAGTAGCACCTAATTCAATAACAAATTTAAAATGTTAAAATCCCTAACAGACGACAGGCCGGACCGGTCGGGACGTCTTTATAACGTCACAATAAATACAAGAGGAATTTTAACCGAACAGTCGGATCGTAAAGTAAGAACTAGGAAGATATAAACAAGCCGCAAGCGAACCATTCAAATATGAATGTGAGATAAATTTTCTAACGAATAAAACTCACGTGCGTCTCTCTGCGCTCAATTTCGCGGCGGCGTTAGGAGCACGTCTGTGTACGGCGCGTGCGCGTGTGTGTGTGCGCGCGCGTGTGTGTGCGTGCGGCCGCAGGTAGCAGGGATCGTCTGCGGGAAAGGCGGCGTCCATTTTGTAATATGAAAATACATTAGAAATATTTCGCTCTTAGAAGATTCTTAGTGGTCAATATAATTTAATGTCAATCATTCATATTTTTTATTAGTTTTAAAACACCGTCTATATCTCAATGTGTTGTAAATAAACCTTAACGGTTATTTGCTTAATTATATTTCAGTATGTAAAATACTAACTGGAGAACTGTTCACTTTGAATAAGGACTCCGAATATTTATGTCCTATATATAAAAAAATTCTTATTGTCCATTAATAAAAGAATTATATGAAATTAACGCCGGTCATAAATATAAAGCGTGGGTACTCGAAAATTGGTATCGATGTATTGTCAAACTTTATCACGCATTAGCATCAAAGAAATTCATGTATATCTGCGAGACGGTGTTATATTAATTAAATATATAAAAAACAGAGCCGAAATCTTGCAAGAAATTAATTACGAGAAAAAAAGAAAGGGGTGCGCGAGCGGCGAGCTGACGTAATTTTACCGACGGCCGTCCCGCGCATGCGCAGTGGAGACCCGGCGTTCGCGCCAGACGCACGCCATGAAACAATACTTGGAACGAATTAAAACATCAAAAATGTCAACTCAACAAGTCCCAGGGCGATAAGTATTAGATAGTTATGTGTACTATATGTTGAGACAGCACCGGCCACGTGTGGACCGCGGACGGCGAAGGATGGACGTGAGTTATTATACATATTAAATATATACACATAGCAATATATAACGTTCTATTAATATAGTTAATAAACACTAATATTACTATTTTAATGTATGTTGTCTTTGAGCCGGCGTGTTCGTACCCTTGCCCTTTGTTTCCAATAAGAACATCTCAAGTAGGTCTAGTGATGTGATTGCACTATTTAACGATATTAATAATCTTATTTTAACACGAACACGATTATAACTATCGAACTTTAACATAATAATCGGTTGATTATAATCTATATTTAAGTTATAACTAACCTAGTACAACATTATAATTATAGATAAATGTTTAAAAACCGTTACAAACCAAAAAGCCCGCCACTATCGGGACACGTCACTAACCTAGGCCAACATAGAGGCGTCGGAAGCGCAGGTCAATACACCAAGTCACGGTCGCGCACTTTCACAGAGAAATATTCTTCTAATACACGGCGCGCTCTTATTGAGAATACTAACATAGGTACACAATATAATTATTATAGTTTTTTTTTTTAATGGAACAGTTTAAAATTATACAGCCTCGTCAAGTAATAGAAACTTTTTAATACATCGGCTGTATAATTTGGATCGTTACGAAATATTTACGTTTTATTAATGATAATTTATTATGTATTGTTATGTAATGTATATAGTATATATGTTATATATAATCCACGTTGTCCTAGGTCACTGTACGCGGCGCGTTGCTACGTCAATTCGTTTAACACGTAACAAACGTATTTGAACCTTACGCGATGTTAATAAAGTTGGTATTTGTATTAATCATATAAATAGGTATAACTCCATTCATAATTCGGTGCTATACATAAATCGGTTTCAGTGCGGTCCGATTTTCAAAATACCGTTTTAAATCTCACTTAGTGTACTTCATATGTACTTCATTTTACTTCATTATTAACAAAGTCATCACTATTTCTTACAAAATAGAAGATAGTTTTGAAATAGACGATCGTCCAAGATAATAAATATTATATACATATATGTATATATATTAAATAAGGGAAAGTTAGTAGATATTACGGGGTCTTAATTAACGGACAGCTGTGAAGCTTACCAAAAAAAATGACCCCAGCGGGTTACAGGCGTGGTGCTAGTGAGTGACCACACGACCGACATCATACCGATATCGATATATCGATTAAAATTAATACAACACTAATAGTGGTCACTTACAACTAAAGATAGCACTTAACACAAGTTACCATTAACACTGCATACGTGGCGTTAACAGTTTCATATATTCGTATAGTATTAACGTATTATTGAGTTATATTGAATACTCTTTGAGGCAGACCCTGGCTAAAACCTGGAAAATACCAGGTAGAAGAAAATACAGAATACTCTTCGTATGTATTTAAAATGAAACTTGTGTTAGGCGCATTGTCTACTGGTATTAAAAAAAATATTTTTTATATATAATTTTATTTCCAAAACTTATAAACATCAATAAAAGTAGTAACGCGATATAAACACGTACCCCCATGGTGATAAAAAAAACACATAAACCAGCTCCTGTCTTATACGGCACATGGCGGAAACACATGCTGACTTGGATGTAATGATTAAATAACATACATATAGAAAAAAGACATATATGTATATACAGAGAGAGAGTATATAGGTCTGTGTAACAAACACGTAATATATTATAATATATATAACTTAATATATCATTCCCAAAGTAGGTTGATGTCAGGCAGGTCGTAAAAACAATTAGCCAAAACTATTGACATGTAAGGCAGACCCTGGCTGAAGCTGGGAAATGGACAGGAAGAAGATAAAACTTAATATATATGTTTTTTAGTATTTATTTGGAAAAATCTGATTGGTTTAGTAAAATTTTAAAATATCACGATTACTGATAGTTTTATCGTCATTAGACTCACGTTGCTCGTACTAGGGTTATATATTGTATATTGTTTAAGAATCACATTATTCTCATTTCTTATATAAATGATTTTAATATGAAATAATTAAATGTATGTATATTATACACAATTATTGTAACGATGTCTATAAAAGATAGCCCATTAGTGATGGGTTTAAAACATACGAATAGTTCTGAGACAGGATAAAGTTCTTTCTTCTATAAATAGTGATAATTTAAATTCTGTACAATATTCTTCTACACTCCTATAAAACAAAATTATTCCAGAAACCTCATTAACTGATAGACTACGACTAGTTGGAACGTATTCTGTATGTAAAACCTATTTTTAGAAAATGTTGCCAACAGGTAAAAAACTCGTCGAATATTTACCCGTTATTTACCTTATATATAATATATGTTCTTATATATATTATTTTAATATATTATATGTTTTATCCACTATATTCTCGAAAGCCCATTGAGCACTCCGCGCGGTGGCCATTAGCGAGATGGTGTCAAATTCCACGGTACGGGTTCGATCCTGTTTGTGCTCCCTTAATTAGTGACTTAGCTATATTCATTTCCGAATAGAACTACACTAGGAGCAGAGTTTTATTAAACATAACTCAGCAGATTAAGAATAGTTGGATTTATACTAAAAAAATGCCTGAAAACTTTTTGAATGTCGCGTACATTATTTACCTTTGCAAATGTAGAACTAAGTTTGTATTGAAAAAACGCAAAGCATGAATTTGTAGACGTGACCGCAATGTTTCACAAGATGGCGGCTCCCAGCGCTGGGAAACTTGTGTGGGAATCATATAATATGTTAATGGAGGGACGTGATGCTCATTTGTTTATTAATTAAGTCTTCCCGAGCATTGGAATCAAGTTCCAACTATGTACATGTATGAAATCTTTGGAAGGATTCTTTCTAAATACTCCAAAGTTCTGTTGAATAATTTTTGGTCAAACTAATATTTTTCGGATGTACTACTTTATTTTGAAAAACTACATATTCTCAACGTTTCGGTTACTTTTCAGCAACCGGGACCATAAATACGAGTGTGAATGAACGTATTTGGTTGTCAATTTGTCATATATTTGGTAGTTTGGTAGTTTTTTTTTTGTTTCTATTGAAACACAAATACGTGACTTCCCCGAACACGTAGAGGAAGTGTTGGAAGTTGAGGTGGTTGGTTGTGGGAAATAGTGCTTAAATATTTAGGGTGACTACTGGTAGGGCTTTAGTAATAAAGTGTAGGTTTTTAAATAAAATACCGTTTTGAAACTAAAAAAAATATAGTCTCGGCGTTTTTTTTACGTTACTTTGGGATTTTAAACTTAATTTATACTTGATTGAAAAGGTAATTGTGGTTGGACAAAGTTTTAAAGCTTTTCTAATATTGAAAAGAATCGTCTATTTGAGACATCTTTATTTATGAAATGATGACGAAAGCTCTAATTTATTGGTGGTATTTCATTGACCAAAAACACAATCGCTTCAACGACGAGATATAATTTTTATTTTTAAGTTTTAAAACCAAATGACGTTCCCACATGAAAACTCAAACACTGCAGCGTCCTCTCCGATCCTCAAATCATCAACTAACAGAAGTAGCTGGGTCGGATTCCTGACGAAAGTTTCATGCGAGCGACGCACAAAAACAGATATACGGACAATGTTTGCTCCCAGCATTCCTCCGCACTTGTCAAAAAGCAAACACTCCTTACAAAGACATCGGAGACTAAAAAACAGGAAAACAAAAGTCTGGAACGAGGCCGGAATAAGAATGGGATACTATGTTCATTTGAAAGAAAATAATTAGGGTCGGCACTCGAGGATAGGAGGCTCACGCGTTCAGGCGGAGACCAGAGCGCGGTGCGAACAATAACGACGTAGAAATATGTGGGAGGTTCAGAAAAAGCTGGGCTGAGGCAGCCCTGGCGATCCAGTCGAGCAAACGACTCGCGCCGCTGCGCCTGCGCCCTCGCCCGGCGCGGCCCGAAGCCCCTCGGCCGGCGAGAGGGAGACGGCGCACTTTCCCCACGCGTCCGAGCGAGACAGCATCACTGCAGTCGGCGGATGCGAGGGTTTCCGACCGTTGACTCCTCTCAAGGCCACGCGGAGCTGCTTTTTGTGGTGTCATCGTAACGCTTGTAATAACTGAAGTAATGACCTTCGATACTTTCTTCCGAGGTCAGAGCATACACACGAAAACCGACGCAACTCACTCACTCACCGAATGGAATTAAAAGACTTTCTCTCGATATATAAACGTTTCAATGTCGAAATCAACACGACTCGGGTTCACAATTGACTCGTATTTCTTATATTATCAGTATTTAAATGGTCACATTATGTGATGGAGGGAACAGGTGAGCTCGGTCACCTAAAAGACGACAGCTGAAACATTACGATAACACGACGTTCATTAACAGTTACATAAAACATATAAGGTATCTATAAGACTTAGACGTAACATAAAATACATATTAAAAATAAAAACTTAAGCATTTTTATCCTTATAGTAAATAGTGTTTAAGATAAAGTGTCGTAACGGATGCGGGCTGTAAATCATGAGTGGTGATCACCCTCATCACCCTCCTTATCACAGGGATGAACTTGATGATAAATATTATCACGAGATAAGAAAGAAGGTTCAGGGGCAAAGAATATCTTAACACAAACTAATCTTTCCTTAATAGAATACTAGCTTTCCGCCCGCAGCTTCACCCGCGTGGAGTTCGGTTATATTACGTTTCCAACATAACCTTTCAAAAGTCGGGGATAAAAACTATCCTATGTTCTTTCTGAAGGTCAACTCTATGTCTGTACCAAATTTCATTAAAATCAGTTCAGTGGTTTACGCGTGAAAGCGTAACAGACAGACAGACAGAGTTACTTTCGCATTTATAATATTAGTAGAGATTTAACCAACTAAATTTAACCTTATTAGTTTATAGTTAGTTAGTTAGTTAGTTAGTTCATCTGTTTCTGTATAAATTAGTTATGAAACTTGATTTAACTTAAGACAATGGATATTATGATAATATTATAGAATTCTTACATCGTGTAAGTCGGTCATTCAAAAGAATCTAGGAACAGTGACTAACACCTCACAATAGATACCCTTTATAATAATAAAATAGTTTTACTAATATATATTGTATTGATTGGAATACATCAATATTATTACATTCATTCTTCTACCTGGCAATTACCCAGCTTAAGCCAGTGTCTGCCTAAAAAATTATTACAGGACTTATAAATCATTTATTTGACCAAATAAATTATATAACAGAATGTAAGACGAATTGTTTCAGAATCAAAAGTAAAAATTCATATTTACATACATTAATTTTGCTAAATATTATGTTTTTTTTATATATTAGTTTAAAACTAAGTCAAATATATTAAAAAGCCCGCAACTAGAACACGTGTCGGCGAAAGAATCGAGTCACCTACATAATATTAAGTCCAGAATATGTCCTGTTACACTAATAGGTCTAGGAATAATACAAGCAAGTTGATAATAGTTTAAAATATTATAAATATTTTTTTAATACGGACCAATATCAAGTTTCTTTATGTTATCTCTCGAGGTGTATCAGCTTCGTTTTACTTGAAATACACTCGATTATCAACCTTAAATATATGGAAATAGAGTCTTAAACTGTGTGTAGTTAATGTATGCGCGGGCGCACCCACGGGGCAAATACTGTCAATTCATGATGAGAACCGAATGTTGTGTCTTCAGCGTTATACAGTGGTACTTACCACCTACCACCCAGAATATGATCTGATTAGACTACCACTTAAATATAAGTTCAACAATAATATAATGTGCTTTACTGCAAATTAATAATTAAACCTTATGTTTGTACGTTCATTTAATATTCATCGCTATCTGGAGCACATTATAATTTGAAACCTAATTACGGCGGCGCCTACATAGAGAGATTTCATACAAAAAAACATTTAAAAATGCAAGCCCTGAATGTTCGTATTAAAATAGACCTTGTATATGTAGACTTAAGGTATAATCTCGTCTGTTACTCATGTTTCAAGATGGCGTCTCTCATGTTTTGTTTATTTTCCCCTTTAAAACGCTCCGCGGCGCGCCACAGCTCCCTCTCGGGGTAAAATCGAGATCAAAGTAAAAAAGACAATAAAACAACAGAATTCCTCGTCAAAGACAAAGGCGACGTCTCTGTGTCCTAGGACTGGTTCCGTCTGTAAGTGATCCAGAAAAAATGTTGAAACGCACTGCTTCGTGAATATTGATAATTGATTAGATGATTAATAATTAATACAGATTGAAAATTAAACTATTCTACACTTATATATCCCTACTAATATTATAAATGCGAAAGTAACCCTGTCTGTCTGTCTGTTACGCTTTCACGCCTAAACCACTGAACTGATTTTAATGAAATTTGGTAAAGATATAGAGTTGACCTTGAGAAAGAACATAGGATAGTTGTTATCCTAGACTTTTGAAAAGTTTTCTTGGAAATTCGATATAACCGAATTCCACGCGGGCGAAGCTTTGGGCGGAAAGCTAGTTCTAGATAAAGGTTTAGTTCTAAGTCTTTCATTACACGACATTTTGACCAAAAAGAAATTCCTATAAAATAATAGCTTATAATTCATTTATATATACTTTTAATAAAAAAAGGAATAAGCTGTCAAACGAGCACTGAAAATTAAGTAAATACCTCGTCTCCATATTACATAGAGGTTTTAATTCTTCCAGGTTCTAGCAGTCAGCAGAGTGTCGTCATGATAGGTCGAACTAAGTATCTAAGTCTGGTAACTCCACCACCGTTGGCGTTGATTCAGCCAACGGGGGCAGAGTTCCTGGCCCTAGATGCGACTCTCATCATCATCATCATCATCATCATCAGCCTATCAGAGCCCACTGCTGAGCTGCCTCTTCTCACATGGAGAAGGTTTGAGCATTAATCACCACGCTCGCTCAAGACGGCTTGATTTCAAACTTATAATTTGGTATTGTAAGTGCAGATTCTATTATAAGTCCAGGTTTAATCACGATGTTTTCCTTCATCTGTCAGTGGTGTCTAAATACTCTTAGAAAGTACATATGACTAGGAAAAATCACATTGGTACTTGCCAGGTATATCAAGATGTATGAGATTTTCGGATATACTACGCGTTTACGCCAGTATAACAAATTTTTTGCGGTAGATGACAAGACCAGAATAACTGACAGACGTTCACATCTCGTCTGCCAGTGATCACGGTTGCTGTAAAATAACTGAAATATCGGGATTGTGTACTTAAAATAATAAAAAACGCGTAATATATTCGAAAATATCAGTTTTATTTATATGATATTCTATGTATATAATAAGACATGTGTCTATTTAAAGCACTTTTCAGTTTTTCACGAAAAATACAATTACTGTTCTGTTAACAAATGCTTCTTGTTTATTGTTTAAAGGTTTTAATAAATAGAGATTCGTTACTCGTACTGTATTTATTTCCCTTCATACTTTACCTTAATTGTATAAAAAATATATACCTATTTAAAAGAAACATTTATTTATAACCCGCTGACTGTAACTGTTTGACCGACTGAAAATGAAGGAGGTTCTTTATTTAATATTTGTTTTATTATTTCTTTATACAAAACTTTTAAACAGAATTAAAAAAGTATAAAGGCGTATTTGTAATTGTTTCACGAAATAATTGTTTACATACATTTTTAAGTATGTGTATCTAATATAGTAATATGTAATACATATTATGTATTCAGTATTTTTAATAATATTCGACGCAACTGAATCCATTTCCCTTCAGATGACTAATACATTCAGTATTTTTAAATATAAAATCCATATTTATGTGATCTATTATATTTTTTATATCTATAAACAAACTTAAGTATATATAAACTAAAATGTAATAATTTTACACAACATATATGTATTAAGGTATAAATAAGTATAATATGTGTATGATGTTAATAAATAAATTATGTTTTACAAAAGTGCATAAAAACGGGTCTTTGGTTTTATCAAAGTTTGATTCTAGAAATTAAAGTAATACGTTACACATATATACAAAATATAAAACTATTGCAAAGAAATATTAGCCTTCATTTACATTCAAATTCAGGGATATAATTAGTTCATGCCTGCGACTTCGTCTGCGTCACCATTGAAGTTGGGCTCAAAGAGAAATGGTAATGTGTACTACAATAAATTTGGTAACCAACTGTCACAAATAGGATGTGTCACGTGACGTCATACGGGATTAACTGTTGTGACTTATCATTCGATAAATAAAAGGAATTAAGATATACAATGTAACCTATATCTCATTCTCATCTGTAAGATACATTCATGTGAATTTTCATCATAATCAGTAAAGCAGTTTTTTCCTGATACAGCAACAAACATCCTTATAAATTGTCACATTTAAAATATTGGAAGAATGTTATGTATTTGATGAAAGGTAAGGCGATGAGTAATCTCTAGAAGATTCTATCACGGGGTTCCTGAAATATAACTTAAACGAAATCGCTACAACAATTAAAGAATACAATATATTTAATTGTCTTTTACTTAAATTAGACATTCCAAATAATCCAATTTAATGGAAATCGAATGTTTATAATAATTTTTCCAAAACGTAAAATTTATTCCATAATGGCCTAAAAAGTATATTTTAGTCTCAATTGTACTCTTTTGAGGATCAGAAGATTATAATTAAAAGTTCTGTTAGAGTTATAGTTATATTAATGAGAACTTTAGAATTAAATAAATAATACCAAAAAAATATTTGAAACCAAAGTAAAACTGAATATATTACTTCCTTATGTAGAACTAACAGTTTCCAGTGTGTTTGGTAAATTCATGTCATTTATTCGTTCGCTGTCAAGACGGTCACACATTAATTAATATATTACGTGAATTTTAAAAGTTTAAATTCTCAACATGATATTGTATGACAGATTTCAGAGGAAACCAAATAGATTTTATTTCAAGGGTAAGTAAAATGAAAATAGTTGTGAAGTCACTCGCAAGTTATTTAGAATCAATATATATATATATATATATATATATAAGAGAGTCGTGTTAGTTACTCAACTTATAACTCAAGAACGGCTGAACCGATTTAGCTGAAAATTTGCAGGGAGGTAGTTTAGAGCCAGGAAAATGACAGGATACTTTTTTATCCCGTTCGACAGCATTCCCGTGAGATCCCAGCCCTTTTCTATTTCCCATACAAACGTTTTTTTGTCATTAGATTTGACAACTAACTAATATGTCAATTATTTGGTTCGATTGAAACAGGAAAAATTTACTAAATACCAATACCTGGTTATTTATGGCCTCTAAGATGGAACAGAGTTTGCCCGGTCAGCTTTACGTATATTACTAATGAAGAAATTAACGCGGACGAAGTCGCGGGCAAAAACTAGTAAAAGATAAATATTCAATGCGAGAAGTTATATGCATTGGTATTTTTAGTTTCGAAACCGGACGCGGTTAATTGTTGTGATAATAAAAATTAACCTGTACTTAAACATTTCATAAATTATAGAAAATAGCTTTGATGCTGATGCTGTCATGATAAAAATAAATGGCGGTTGTAATTCAAGACTTTAAGATGAATAAACGATTCATTAGTTTCAATATACTTAAAGTCCCATGTGACAAACTGTTGGAGTTAAAATAAAAGATTAAAATACACAATTAACAGTGTTATGTTACAAAAGAGAACATAGGGTATAAGCATGTTACTTGTATGATGTAGTACATCTTCAAATCTTTCTTTTAAATTTAACGTTTTACGAGAGGTAGGTTGTTTTGCTTTTATTATTGCTTACAAAAAAATCTGTTATTAATTTATTTTACTCGAAAATTCAAAAAATATCGGCTAGTTCTAAATAAAATCAGCAGATGGTCTAAAATTTTCTTGATTTTTGATATTAAGATATCTACATGTCATTTCATAGAATACTTTTAATTTTCATAGAATTATTTTAATTGAATCTTTGTTATTGACAAGGCTTAAAACAGTTTGTAGACTAAATGCTGTATTTGATATTATTATAATATATTGATACAACATTCCTCAAATGTTAAAGGATCGTAATTGTGTATGAAATGATGGGTGAACATTTTGAAAGAAAAATAATGAAATAAAACAATCAACAGGCCGTACATAAATACAATTATTTATTACGATCATCAAACACCGTCGCCACATTACCTTCTTCATAGATCTTATATATTCATCTCGTTCTGAAATCAACGTATTAAATTTTGCAAAAAAAAAAACTCATTTTAAAACGAATCAATATTTTACCTTTTAAAATTATCTTAAAATTCGTATCATATTAATGGATAGATATCTGTAATGGAGTTATAAATACACTTACAAACTTACTCTCAGCGAATGAAATACAAAATACCCAACACTAGTATTTAAAATGAGTTCAATGACCTTCAAATGTATGAAATATATAAATAATTACGATATTCGATATCTTTATAAACTGTGGAACATCCACAGCTGACAATAGTCGCCGTTGATACATTATTATAAAACTATATCTAATAAGAGTAGTACTTATAAGAAATTAACACAGAAATCAGTCCCTAGAGCTACTTACATCTAGATATGACTATGTCTTTAAAACACCAATCGTATATGTTACAAAGAGGAACCCGCTACTGACGCGGCCGCTCGAAGAATGAGTTACAGACACCTTACAATAACGTATATATTTTACCTTATAAATCAGTAACTATATTGAATTTTATATATTACATATTAATTATACTTGTTCTGTTTCAAGTTTGTCAATTTCTTATTTATAGTAATAACGAAATATCGAAATAACTGTCATCTTAAAAAATGTCGGTCCAATGATGAAAAACTTTTTGACATAAAGTTAATAAGATACAGATTTGAAAACAAAACAAACTAACCACTCTGGTAATCAGATAAATTTAAATTAAAAAAAAATATAGTAACTTTATGTTTCAAATATAAGTAATGCAATAAATGACGTTACTAGGTATTATTCAGTATTTTTGCACGTCACTAGTAGTTAAAACTTTTAGGTATCAGAAACGCAAACTCCGAGCAGCCGGTACATACTATGGATCAATATAATTCATCATTTCAACTATATATAATAATATGAAGACTTACAATGAGTTATTCATTTATTTAAAATGTTCATTATATTTAGATGTATTACAAGTATATAAAGATAACAAAATAACCAAATCAACGTTTTTATACTGTATAATATATTTATTTTAGCAGCCGACGACTGAACAAACTATATTTATATATTAATGTTGTTACTATAACTATTTACAATCGCCGGGGAGATGCTCCGGCGTACAGATGTGAGTTCATCTGAAATGAGAGATGAAGAAATTAATTACAAGTTACAAGATAATACATAAATACAATTAATTTTTTTTGTTAATAAATGTATATGGAGAGGAGGCTTCTTTTACTATAAAACTAAAGAGAATTAAATAGACAAATTTATAATAACCTTTTTTTATAGATCAAATTAAAATTACTCTTGTTATACTATTATATATGGTTGTGGTCTATGTGCATGTGTGCGCGGGCTTGTGTACGTGTGTGCGTGCATTACACACGCAACTGTGTGTGTGTGTATGTGCGTGTGTGTATACTAACGTAGCTCGACAGGCCGGCGAGTGTACATCCCTATCAGCGCCTCCCGCGAAGCTGATATTGAGCAGCATAGCCTCAAACGGGTCGGAGCGCATCCTTTGCTGATTCGCAGCGGCAGCAGCGCTGGCTTCGCTGACTGTCCTACCGTCGGGACAGCCGTCTTCGGGGCGCGGGCTCCACAGACGGACCACGGCTTCTATGCCACTGGTGGCTAGTAGGAACATGGACGGATGTAGCTGCACACAGTTAACTATGGATTCGTCTCCTCGCAAGCAGCGGATGATGTTACCCGTGTGACGGCACCAGATGAACATACTGCCGTCGTCTGACCTGGGGAACAACAATTTGTTTATTACAGTGATATAGATATCTCATAACATTCATTTCACGTAATTGTCGTTTTCTACTCAATATTAAAACAGAGAGAAGTGAGAACTTATTTATTTTCCTATTATAATATATGACAATCGTATGATAAAACCTAACTTTAAAGATATTGCTATGATTCCATGGTAATAAATTATAGAGCCATATTTAAAATTATTTACTTTAGAATCAACTTACACCGTTTTACTATTATATTGCGTCTGTAATTACATGAAAGTAATCAAGGAAATTGTCACTAATTAATTTCTATGTAACTAATACTTGATATGAAGAACTAAATATAAATTATTAGAGATCTATTGTAATTTGAGAGTTTTGTCAGCATCAGTTGTTGAAAATGATTTATTCTCTATCTCTATCTATCTAAAGATATATCTATCTATAGATCCAGTGACTGATGATGATCCTAACATAAGATAGTGATGGCATCAGTGGCGGCTGTACCTGAAGTGCACTCGTGCGCTGAACCACCAATTCAAGAGATTTAAAAATTACAAAATATTACTTCATCTTTATTTTTAAATTACCAATTTAATATTAATTTTTAAACATATAAAAACTTATAAAAAAATTAAATTTCCTAATTATGGTCAAAAAGTTTGAGCGCTTTATTTAACTAATATCGTGCGTTTCGGCGAGTGCACGAGGACTGCTAATACATCTTGTATGAGACACGAATTAATACGCCTGACGCGTGAAACAAAAGATAGTTCATAGAAATGTACCGAGTAACGAGTCGGTGCTCGAGCGCCGCACGAGCGACCGAAGATTACCGAGAGTACCCGTTGTATGACGAATTGAGCCATGATTGACATCTCGTTATGTTTTATTGCATTTTCTAATTTTAATATTTTAGTACAGTGCACCACCAGTTCGATTACCCACCACCCGCCACTGGATAGCATATTATACAGGGTGACTGGTGAATTACTATCAATATTTAAGGAGCATACTCGGTACATGATTCTCATTCGAATTATGTAAAAAAATAGGCATTTAATTTTTGACGAAATTTACGTATAAATAAATAAAGTGTTGACACGTTCCAAGTGTTCCAAGTGTGGACGCGTGCGGCGGCGTGCTGATACAACAACACGCCGCCGCGCGCGAGTGTGTGTGTGTGTGTATACCTAATCTGTAGGGTGTTCATACGATGCGTAATTAATTACATAACTTTTGGTTAACTTTACTTAGAAGTTTATTAATATTTATGTTATATTAATTTTTTTGTCATATATGATCGTCAAATATCACGTCCTCAAATATCGATAGTAATTCACCAGTCACCCTGTATAGTGGAGATACCACCAATATTTATATAATATATATTTCATACCCAGCGGCCACAAAGCCAGCGTCGGGTCCTAGGAAATTAGCCTCCTTGATGTCAGTAGTAGTGTTACAGTGACCCAGGAAACGTGATGAGTAGTCCAACGAAGACATGCGTAGTTGACGCTCAAGGGGACTACCGGCCTGGCTGTCTTCATCACCTGCAAATATATGAAATTAGTTTATTTATATACATATATGATATATATGATGTATATTAAGAACTAACTTCGTTAAAAATTTTATTAAAATCAGTTCAGTGGTTTAGGCGTGAAAGCGTAACAGACAGACAGACAGAGTTACTTTCACATTTATAATATCAGTAGGGATAAAATGTATGAAACAATTTAAACAAATATATAAAACCAGGATTCTGACTTGTTAAATTCATAATAATATTCCACTTGCTTTAAGATTAATCTTTATCTATCCTGTTTATATTGTAGATTAATTTATATCTATTCTATCTATTATGTTGTGATATTTGTATTACAGTAAATTATAAAACTTACAACCACTAACATCACAATCATTTCTAATCAAAGAAACATCTTTCTATTGAAATTACACAAATTTTTGGCTCAAATTATAGCCATCATTATATGCTGATGCTAAATGATTCTTTGGGATATATTTATATAACATATAACAACATATTTATTTGTTTATTTGAATAAAGATTAATATTATTATGTTGATACAACTTAAACAAATTATTTCGACCAAATTAGTTACCATAAAAACGGTTTTTGTGAGTTAATCTTAAAAGATAGACGTATACTGTCGCGGACTGTTTTTTAGATCATTAAAAGAGCTATTATTCTTTAATACATATTTTTTATGTATCTTGTACTGTTTTCACGGCGCACACAACGGAAGGCTTCAAAGATGAAATAATTTCTCCCGTTTTTTACACATTTACCACTATATCTTTGCTCCTATTGGTCGTAGCGTGATGTTATATAGCCCACAGCCTTCCTCGATAACTGGACTATCCAACACAAAAAGAATTATTCAATTCGAAAGAGTAGTTTCGGAGATTAGCGCTTTCAAACAAACAAACAAACTCTTCAGCTTTATAATATTAGTATAGATAAGGCAAGTGTCTATAGTCAGTGGTGGCCTAGTGGTTAAAAGGTCCGCCTCGCAAGCATGAGGGCGTGGGTTCGATCCTGGCCCTGGAAAGTACCAATGTGATTTTTCCGACTCATATGTACTTTCTAAGAGTATTTAGACATCACTGATTAATGCATTAAAGAGGGTGGATGTCAGGCAGGCGGCCGTAAAAAACAATTATCCAAAACTATTCACAACATGTAGGGTAGACCCTGGCTAAAGCTGGGAAATTGCCAGGTAGAAGAAAATTTAACAGAATGTAATTGTTACCGCTGTCAGTGTTGCAACCTTAGGAGATCAAGTAAGAATAAGGCAGTATATACACTGGGTGCACATTACCTTCATCTCGCTCCATAGTCTTGAGAGCCACTTTGATATCCTTCTGTAGTAGGAAAACCGCGTGGCTTGAAGCGTGTTTGGGGAACTTGTCCTTGAAGTACAACAGACACTCGTTTGCCTCGCGGGCCCGCTTGAGGTCCATGAGGCCTTTGGCCAACCGGAAGTGGGACTTGACGTGGCCCGGGTCCAACTTGATCGCCTGATAACAGTCTCGTATAGCCGCGTATGTATCACCCGACCTGTGAGTACATTTGATTATTTATAGATTATTATTGATTACTTTTCACAGATCATATTATATAACTTGTTCTTGGATACTGATATCGCGAGATTAAACCACTATAATAACTTTGTTATTGGATATAATATATAACTAACTCGTGTTCGCTTTAAACTTTTCTTACTGTGTAAGGTTTTAGAAACTAATAAATGTCCAATAGAATTCGATAGCCAGTCATGACCGGTAAAAACGTTTTGAGACATCTATATATGTCGCAGAATGAAAGCGATGTAAAATGAATTTCTTTTAAACACTCACACAGGTCTGGCGCAGGCGCAGGCACTACTGATAGTTATAGCGACGTCGATAGATAACGAAACATTGAATTTAAAGCATTCAAGTAGGTTTCACAGGTTGGCGATTAATAAAACGAATGACTTTATAGATATCAGTAAATCTAATACATATGTTCTTACCAGCCCCGCCTCATAAGCGCAGCGGCTCTATTTGAGTAAAGCAAGGCGCAGTTGGGGTACGCGTGTATAGCCATGTTGTACGTCTCAACCGCCATGCAAAAACTGCCGCTGTTCACCAGCTCGTTGGCCTGAAATATTATTATTATAGACATTAAACATATATAATAAATCATATGTAATTATGTAGGGTGCAACCGGAGATTCCAGGAAAACTACGAAACTTACTGATATGTATATTATAATAAGAATTACATATTAAAACTTATAACCTACACTTAAGACTACATGATTGACCCGATGTTAGGATAGCAATGATATTCCATAGCTTGTGTGGTATCAGGAATCACACGGCTCGGTGTTTGTTCCGCGGAGTCAGCGGCGTCACTCGTTATATGATACTTTTCTATGCAAAGATGTCACCCGGCGATGTTCATTTAATTTTTCAATATGTTACCCGTACGTAAGGATCCTTATTGTATTCATAATAATAGTCACCATTTTTTTTTGTGTGCATTTCACAAAAGAAGCAGTAACAAACTATAATCCCTCTATCTGAATCAGAATGTTTGCGGAAGTCCGGATGCTCTTTCAAACAAAAATCCTGAGCGGATTTTGATGAAACTGGACATTAATATAGCTTAGACATTAGGTCTTCCTAGGAACTAGGACATAACAGTTGTATAATGTCAAGTGTCCCAGATAAAGTTGGTCTCATATCTAATGCTTTACATCCTACTAATATTATAAATGCGAAAGTAACTCTGTCTGTCTATCTGTTACGCTGTCACGCCTAAACCACTGAACTGATTTTAATGAAATTTGAGTTGACCTTGAGAAACAACATAGGATAGTTTTTATCTCAGACTTGAAAGGTTCTCTTGGAAACGCGATATAACCAAACTCCACGCGCGAAGCTGCGGGTTTAAAGCTAGTAGCCTGTATATTTCTAAGTTGCACTTTCCCGGTACATATATTTCTAAGTCTGATAATCAAAAACTATATCATCAAACCTACCACTGCTTTTAAGTGTTGTATCTTCTCAGGTAATATAACCTGTTGATCAATGGTACCATTTTCTCCGCTGGTCTCCGTTGGTTGAACCGTTTCATGAGAGGCTTCTTCACGCCGACTGTGGTTGTGTTGTATTATGAAGCTCTCCACTAACACTGGACGTCTTGCTGAGTTGATATCAAACAGATACACCTGGAAATATAAGGTGAAATATTTATTATATAGAAAATATATATACTTTATATACTGTATTGCCATTGAAATTATTTTCTTTTCATGTTACTGTTTTAGCGATATTCAGGTGGTTGTATAATTAAAATTATTTGTTATTTAATTTAAGCTTTAAGAGGATATAATAAATAATTTAGTGTACTAGAGACTCCATGAAAACCTTATACACAACTTCTATAGTGACTTTCTGTCATACTTTGATTTTTTTGGTTAAAAATTTGAATATAGTGTTAAGTATGTGCTGAAATATTGTATATAATATGTTGAAATCTCTGTGATGCCTAATGGTGTAACGACCCACTTCCAAAACTTATTTTTAAATAAAGAAAATCTTTCAAAAATAATAATCATTATAAAGATTACACCGCCACATATACATAATCCCAACAGTATGTACTTCTATTAGTGCTCTAGTCAATGCATCATATACATAATATAATTAACATTGAAGCAAAGTGGAGCAAAATGTACCTGAATTAAATAACAAATAGAACAAATATACAAAATTAATACATTTATATGAGCAGTACCATTAAGATTTGTTTGCATAGTCACTCTCTGTGGTTAAAATTATTTTTTTATTCATAGATACTCTCACATGATAGTGTGAATGTAGCTTTATGTAGTGTTACTATGTAAACTAGTAGTAGGAGTACAGTATTCAAATCAAAACTCATTTGTTAATATCATGAAATCAATTAAAACGAGATACCTAGAGATTTGTCCTTTATTGAGAGAAGATATCATTTCGCAAGTATTCGCTTATAAATGAAACTATTATCTTCGGATTACTACGCGTTATTTTATTATTTGCACTAACCGTGATCACGGGCAGACAAGTGAATGCAAAGTGACCGAAACGTCGGGAGTATTTACTTTTAAAAATAATAAAATAACGCGTAGTAATCCGAGAATACTAGTTTCCTTTTAAAATAGCAAATCATGACATCTCAATTGATGTCATCATGTCATTTGCTATCTTAAAAGGAAACTAGTATTTTCGTATTACTACGCTTTATTTTATTATCCATACCTGTTCCGAGCCTAAGTTAACAAGGAGTTCATTGCCATCGTGACTGAAAGCCACATATGTAGTAGCTTTCTTTGGAAATGTGTTTTCATTTAATTCCATGGACAGGTGACCTGAAACATACACAAATCAGTGACAATTCAACTCTCATACACAGAGACTTGTACTAATCACTAAATATTTGTCTTATCAATACTTGTTTAAAATTTAAATTTATAATGAATTTAATACAGTGTTTGAGGTACGGTTTCAGACTTGATTTTTAATATTCAGAATCAGTTCCAGTAATGTCTTACAAAATATCTGAAGCTAATATCTATAGGATTAAAATACAAGTTGATACTTAAATGTTTCGTTTATAAAGGATTGTAGAATATTATAATTAGTATAGCACAGATAGCGCCACTTGTAACAATAGTTCAAATAAGTAACCGGAATGTGATTTTCTGAAGGTTACAGGTTCGAGCCCTGCTTGGTGGAGGTTGTTATCATTAATAGTATTAATATATATGAGTATTTAGACACCACTGACAGACGGTGAAGGAAAACACGGACTTATAATTTCAAATTATAAGTTTGAAATCACCAACCCGTCTTGAGCAAGTGTGGTGATTAATGCTCAAACCATGAGAGATGTCTTTGCTCAGCAATTTGCTCTGATAGGCTGATGAACCTACTAATATTATTATTGCGAACGTTTGTCAATGTGTGAATGTTTGTTACTTCTTCACGCTCAAACGGCTGAACCGATTTTGATAAAATTTTGAATACAGGAAGCTGACGTCCAGGAAAAACACATAGGCTACTTTACATCCTGGAAATAGGAGGTAACACCACGGGGCGCAGCTAGTGATATATAAATATATGGATGTGGGTATGTTCTCACCGGGGGCGTAGTACTGAACTGCTTCACGTGGAATGTTTTCGTCGGGGTCCCCGTGGCCGGCTCGGGAGCACCTCACGTTCTGTCTCTCCCACATTAGACCCGAGGGGGCGGAGCCCGACGGAATCTCCTGTCACAGATAATCATTATTATAAACTCTCCGTTTGTACTTCAACTTTCTTATACTATGTAAAAAAAATATATATAGGGTCAGTTCGGGTAAGATCGTCTGGAGGGTAAGATTGTCTAACACGAATAACTTCTAATTCAGTTGAGCTACAAAAATGGGAGAAAATTAGGGGCACAATAAATCCATTTAAATTACAAAGATAGTAGTAGTAGTAGTAGTATGAACTGAAAAAAACGAGGTTGTTATTTCAGTACGCTAAAGCACTTGCATCGGGAGTGCACCATGTTGGTAAAAAAAAGGTATTTGTGTTGAAATATTAGTTATTTGGAGGATCTATGCAAGTAATTTTATTCTTCTATAATATATCTATGTGATAGTAAATTACATTAGTAAAATATACGTTTTTCACGAAGTTATAGTTGATCAAATTAAAAGCTAACCTCAAAATAGGCCGTGGCGAAGTCCGTCTAGGCCATGGAGGGTAATGAATGTCATATGCCGGTCTTTGCCACATACAGATATTATCAACATTATTTTTAAACCTTTTTAAAATCCATATTCCAAATCAGAATTCTCACGATTGATTGGGCAGATATTACAGAATAGATGCCCAAGTAATGCGAAATGCTTTCAGAAAATCTGGTATTTACCCAGTAAACCGTGATGAAGTAAATAAAGACAAATTTGATATGTTGAAACTAATACAATGGAATAAAATATTTCTGCAGCAGAAAAATAAGGAAAATATTTTAACAGAAGTTCAACAAGACACTGGGCGAAATCCAAAATCTTTAGTGTCAATTTTACTTGATTTTTTTAAATATAAAGTTGTAGCCGGATAGTGCAGATGAATTCAATAGTCACAACATACCGCCAGAAATAACTGTACAGAACCATATTGTTACCATTGAAACCGAGATTGGTGAAAACGTGATTTCAGTAGAACCGAAAATTAACAATGAACCGTTATTAGACAATTCTGCTTATTAGTTATTATTAATTGTTTACAACCCCTGAATGACGAATGTAGAATCTAGCCAAATGAGTGAAATAAAATGTTATTTCTGCGAGTTAGGGTGCGACTATGAAGTTGTTATATGAACTGGCATTCGCACACATATTCATTTACACAGGCATTGACATCTATCACTACGCTAGCTACCGCCAACTAGAGAATTTTGCCAGTAGACGGTCTTAGCCAACATTTATGAAAAATCCGTCTTATTTCACTATTTTAAACAAAAATTGTTTATTTTCTGACCCATTGCTTAAATTGTCATTTTGACATGTTTACAGTTTGGTCAAATAAACATGCTATCATTTAGTTCAACCATATTTGGAATGAAGGTTATAAAATCGCCAAACTAAGACCATTTGTATTTTTTTAAATTTTATACGCCGGTCTTCCCCGAACTGACCCTAGATAAAAAGAATCTTTTCATTATACACATTACAAAGGTAATTAATAAATATTGATTTCTACAATACACAATATTCTTTCATATCAAAATCACAAATTAAGATTCAATTATTAAAAAATTATTGTTGGTTACAACAGATTACATTTCTTACTAACCACAAACCTAACACAACTATACATAATATATACATGTATTTCAAATTCCCATCCTACTAATATTATAATTGCCAAAGTTTGTGAGTGTGTATGTTTGTTACTTCTTCACGCTCAAACGGCTAAACTGATTTTGATAAAATTTTGCATACACTAAGGTGACGTCCAGGAATAACATATAGGCTACTTTACATCCCGGAAATCAGGGTAACACCGCGGGACGCAGCTAGTATATAATAAATATGTGTACTTCACCTGTAGTTTGGCTAATTTGATCATTCTGGTATCGTAGAGTCTAACATAGAAGTCATTAGCTCCAACAGCCAGCTGGTAAGGCCGTCGAGGGTTCACTGCTAGACATTTCGCTTCAGCGTACTTGCCCAAGTGGTTCAATAGATTAACCAACACATTGGCCGAGTCCGAGTTACAACGATGTGGTGTACGGAGATCATGTTGACTGAAATAATAATTATTAAGTATAAATATACATAAAAATGGTAGTAATTATTCTTGTATATTGTAATTTGTTAGGGTTTAAATAGTAGGACTTTCGCGAGTATTCATTTAAATTAAACGAAAATTTTTCAGATTACTAAGCAGTATGCGTATTTTGTTATTGTGAAAACTATATACACCCGACGTTTCGGTTACTTTTCAGGAATTCATCATCTACCGATTCGATTTTTTAGTTTTCTATCGTACCGCTTTGGAAGCTGACGGAATGAGCTCACTATGTTACTAGGTCTTACGGTATAGTCACGGACACTTGATTTTATATTTTTAGGGGCCCTCCCAGATGTTGTTAGGAATTTGTCCAACACCTGGGACCCATTTCTAATAACAAGACCAACTGACCGACACTCACATCAGGGTTGCTAAAAAGTAACCGAAACGTCGGGACTATGTAGTTTGTAAAATAATAAAAAACATGTAATACAATCCGTCAATATTAGTTTCTTTTAAGGTAAATATGTAATATACACATAATCACACTTTTAAGGTTTGTCTGTCGGGAGGCTGAGATTGAACTGATTAAGTGGAAACTTAGTATTTAACCATCATTATGCTTAGATGTAGTTATACTTGCTTGGCATTGTTAAATAATAATATGATGTCAAGTGTAGTAGGTAGATTACGTTATTATATTAGTTTCCACCATTCAGTGTTGCTATTTAGCACAATACATACATGACGAATTCAATATAGTTTTATTGAATACTACATATAGTTAACCATTGATTTAGATCTCATTTCAATCCTCTGCCACAAGAGAGTACTTGAAAATTTGCATTTTACCACAAATACCATAAACTCAACTCACAGAACTAATCCATCTTCACCAGCAGACCAGAATACATCTGTACCGTCAGGTACACTCGCGAGTCTCTTGACACGACCACAGTGACATCCACATTCCAACAAAGAAGCCCCCGTTGAAAGGCTACGGACACGCACTGAACTATCAGCGGCACAAGTCGCTAGGGAATCCCGAGATAGAAACTGGAAAATACATCCAAATTAAGATGACACACAAAACATTGAGCCAACATGTTTACAAGGAATAATAGTTTAATTTTGTAGAATAAAAATATTTGCGCCAGTTAAAGTAATAATAAAATTTATAAAACAATTTACATTAGAATTAAATTAGTCTATTTAAATATTCATTATTAATATGTAACACCTTATTTACAAATGCAGCAGCCGTTTTGAATATTAATATGTTGGATAAAAGTATTATAATGAGTTACACATATTTTCTAATTTAAAATCAATCTTATATAACATGTATGTTGTGATATATTATGAAATCATTTGTAAAGGCTTGATTGATAAGCTTGACTCGGAACATAACGCTAATAGTTTAAATAATTCGAAAACAGTATTACAGTAGATGAATGTATGACTTCTCTTGATTGCTGTTGCCATCAGTGAAATATATTCTCCATATTAAATTAAATGTTTTTATCCTATCAATATTACAAAGCAAGCATTTTCATAATAACAGTACAAATATGTACAATAGACAGAGATAAGAAACAAAACATCATACATATCTGAGGTATGGTTTCATAGTAAATAACATCTATTGATTGATCACTCTTCTGAAATGAATCACCTCTGTTAAGGGTGATCCTGTTTACCTTAACAGAGAATATGTTCCCTGTGTGTCCGGTCGAGATATTACTGATCTGCTTGTATCTGTACGGATCCCACAGAATAACGTGAAGATCGTCGGATGCAGACGCCAATATACTACAACAAAAACAAACCGATTATAATATGTTATCTTTTTGATATGTCCAAGTTATTCGAGGACTCACGATCCGTCGACGTTCCATTCCAGACAGTTAACACATCCCATATGGCCGTGGAGTTCTTTTTCGAGACCTAATCTTTCTATCATACTCCTAGTAACAGTCAGACGGTTCTGAAATTTCCGGCCTACATCGCCCCGCTCGCGAGCGACGGTCAACCCGACAGTCCCCTTCGTCCAAGCTGGTTCCTCTCGTCGTCCCATTTTGTCTTTTAAAATGTCTGATCTACCATCACCAGTCTAAACTACGAAGTACCATCTAAATCAGAATCTATTTATAGTTAGCGACATCTCATATCACACCACAACATTGTTTACGTTACGTCTGAATAATAAATACGTTTAATAAAAATAATAAAGGATGAAATATTTAAGCAACAAGAAGAAACTCAAACAGAGAAGCCAATTTTTCTCCCGAAAATTTGCAGAGCTGTCAAACAGCTTGTTACTTGTTCAATATTGTTTTTATTCTACAAATTGCCATATAAAATAATTTGGTTTCACTTGTTTCGTATCACTACTTTAATTCCTTAAGTTACCTTTTATGAATGTCTGAAATACTATATATCACATTACTTATACAAATTAAAGTGTAGTGAAAATCCAAAAAGGTATATGTGAATATTTTAAGATTTACTTCATAAAAATTGTCATTTGTCATACATCGTAGTAAAACAAACTTCAAACCAAAGTTATGACATTAGATATTGATCTTACATTACAAAATAATGAAAATACATATAAATAAGTGTTAATAGTTGTAAAGACAGTATATACTTAGGTATTTAAGTGTGAAGAATATCACATCTCCTGAAACAAAGTTAACCGGTAGGTCCTAAAATGCCATTTCAGTGAATTATTATTTTTGAAGTAATGATAACAATATTGGCTATTTACATATGTAGACTTAGCTTTTACTAAGGTCCTGACATCTTACAGATCCTAATCATGGGTGAACGGAAAGGACAAAACCTATATTATCCCCCCGACTATGACCCTAAAGTCGGGGGGCTAAATAAATTTATGGGGACACATGCCCTACGAGAGAGAGCAAGAAAACTGCACATGGGTATACTTATCATAAGATTCGAAATGCCCTACAACATCTGGTGCGATGGATGCAACAACCATATTGGAATGGGGGTTAGATATAATGCTGAAAAGACAAAAATTGGCATGTACTACAGCACTCCGGTATACCAATTCCGAATGAAATGCCACTTATGTGATAACCATTTTGAAATAAAGACAGATCCTGGGGTATGTTATTCTCACTATAATTCTTATGTTGACGAGACATATTGCTTATAATTTTAAGTCCATATTAAATTTGCAATATTTCTTTTGTAGAATTTAGACTATGTCATTGTATCGGGAGCAAGACGTCAAGAAAATAGATGGGACCCAACAGAAAATGGTCAGATTGTACCAGAGACCAAGGAGACCCAAAAACGTCTCTTTGACGATGCAATGTTTCGTCTCGAACACAAAACTGGTGATATGGACTCCAGTAAACTTGAGAAACCAAGACTTGGACGTCTGGTCGGCAGGAATGAATCAGTATGGAAAGATGATTATGAAGCCAATTGCTCTTTAAGGAGAAATTTCAGAGTAAGTGTTTTAGAGTTATGATTTATTTTTTTCCTTATTTGTTTAAGAGTTTCCATAATTTATTTATTATTACAATAAAAATCTGATTCCATAACATTAAATAAGCCACTGATATTTAGTCATTAAAACCACTTAGTCATTTCAACTAATTAAAAAGAGACTAATAGTTTTCAGATAACTAAAGTCGTAGATCTTATCATTTCAGCCAATTTTTCCTATTCTTTCATGAATTGATATTATAGAATGTGTTTTATTTACAACATAAATACATAAGTGGTTTTAAAAACAATCATGTTTAAAATGAGACTGTATTTTAATAACAATTTTAATTCAAATGTCCTGAAAGAAAATTTCATAAATAAGAGGAAATTTGAACTATCTACCTCAACTTGAGTTAAGGCGTAGTGGCATATGGGGGGCTTAACTGTTTGTATCTATAAATTTTGCAGTCCTTATTTACTATTTCAATTTTAAAACATTATTATAGGAGACTACACTTTGCTTATTTCAAATAAGACATACATACAGTATAAAAACATAAACATTATTTTTCCGTGTACAAAATCTGTATTTTATTCCACTTTGAACACATGTTGTGCCTACATATTCTGTAATTCTAATTGGATTATAATTAGACTGTTGTTGTGATTAACCTGTATGTGCAAATGTTGATTAAAATTAACAATCATTCATAAAACATAATTAGTTATAAGAAAATCATCCAAAGTTCAAATGTAAATTGTTCTTCAGAGTTTTCTTGTCTGTGCTCTTAAAGTTCCTGCACAACATTATCCTCTAGAACTGGTGCACAAATTATAATAGAGTTATCTATGGCAGTGAACTAATGTTTCAGAAATAGATAAATCATAAAGCAAATCAGTAATTGTTGGTCTAATTGAGCCAAAGAAATATTTTCCTTTCAAGATTTTATAAGAGTTTAAAGCGGTTAGTTGTTTTTTGTGAAATATTTTTAAATGCTTCTGCTATACATCATCAAATGTCATCGGGAATTGTAAAGTTTTTCTAGTTCTTACAATGAAAATTTTATATTTACTTAAATTTACATCTATAATGAAATTTTAAACACTTTATGGCACCTTGGTTCAAGCTTGCAGAGCACATATAAAATTTGGTGGTAGTAACACTTATTTTAGATATTTTACGACCCGATGATCCGTATACATTATAACAGTGAATTTTAAGCACACTAACGTAAATTAATTTCCATCCATCTTCAAAAACCTTAGGGGCCATCCATAAAATACGTCACACTAATTTCATGAGTTTTCGAGCCCTCCCCCGTCCTTGTCACAGGTGGTCACATTTCTGAGACACAAAGGTTTTATTATATAACTCGTTGAAAGGACCAAATTATGAAATAAAAACTTGCATCTTATTTACTTCCATGCTATCTTCATCAAATTTTGATATACATAATTTATTTGCTTTCTTTCTAAATATATTCTTCTTTATATTCGACCCTTCCATACAGCTTAGGTAATCAACAGGCTATTTACGTCAATATCTGAGCCTCCCGAATATATTCATGAAACGTGTTTTTTTTTTTTGATAATTTATGACAAAGTGCTTCTTTTAACTCCAGGATTGGAACGATCTTTTTTGGTGTAGGAAGAGTAAAGTTCATCGCTCAGACTAATCAAGCTCATTAAACCTATCGTTACGGATACAAAATTATTCTTATTTTTTTAGTCAACCCGATGTAGCAGATCTTATCTTTACATCATTCCGTGTTTCCTTAAAATAATAAATAAATAAGCATGTACATAATTAATACATAAATGAAGTGCACAGATTTTTCATCACATATTTTCCTTTGAATGTGAACTTCTCTTGCTATAGAAAAACATTAACGAAACTATGTATCAATTTACCTTTAATTTCTTGATCTTCAACGTCCTAATGTCCCAAACAACAACCGTTTATTCAATAAACTTTGTATCATTTTGCAGAAAAGGAGAAAAGAATTAGAAGCATCAGCTGTCAATGACAACTTGCTGTTGGCTAAATCTTCTCTAGACATACAACTACTACCTGAATCTGAAGATGATAGGAATATGGCTGCACTTTTATCTTTAAGACCATCGAGAAGCATTGAGGAGTCTCAAAGTGAAACGAGAACAAAAATACTAAATACACCGGCTCTACCCAGTTCCAGCGGTCTATTGACTAGCTTTGGTGGTCTTAAGAAGGAAGAATCACTTAGTAAAAGTATGTCTTTGAGCAGAAACTTATTAGGCATCACTATAAAAAAATCCAAGAAAGAAGACACAGATTCAAATAAAGATAATCCAATAAAATCTGTAATACCTGAAGAAATTAACTCTGAAGTTCATGATGATAAAGAAACTTCTGTCTTAGAAAATAATAAACCTAAAATTTCTTTGGTATGCGACTACAGTTCAAGCGAAAATTCTGAATAAGTATCATTTATGGTTAAATAAAACAAGAAATGGAATTGAAACATATAATTATTATTTAAATTGAAACACATGGAACATTAACAAGCATAATACTACAGATAAATGCAATAGAAACTTACAGAAAGCCTCTTATTAAGTTACAATGACTAGAATTTTTCATTTTGCAATTCCTTTTGTGTACTACCTTGAATCTTCCAATGTTAAAAAAAAACTATTTAACATTTACTGACCAGAATTTTATATAATATGTATTATCATTAACATTTTTATAATTGCTACACATATAAAAATATATCTTGAAGTGTTATATATCATATATATGTGAATAAATATTGATGCAAGCATTAGTGATTTCAGCCATAGAAAATTACATGTGTATAGGAAAACTTGAGTATAATATTCAAGAAACAATTGTTATGAGTCTGAAGGTGGCACTTCACTTGGCCTTGCATATTCGCTGCATTTGTCCAAATATTTGTATGCAGTCCAAATATTTGTATGTAGTCCAAATAGCGCAAACATGACATCCACACTTGGCATGCCAACAACACCTGTCGCTTATTTGTGTATGTGTCTTATTTGTGCAAATATGTCAAATGAAGACGAATACATCCTCCACACATGGTCTTATTTGGCCAAACACAACAAATAAATACCTAGTGAAGGGCCACCTTAAGAAACATTTTAATAAATATGTTTGAAGACAATTTTATATCATAATATGATCATTGGTAGTTTATAATGAGTTTTACAAACATTTTAAGCTCTGGCTTCTGCATGTGACAATTAGCATGAGGAAAAAATCAGTCACATTACCTCGGAATGGTTGGTTGGAAGAACTTATGGTATTACTGATTATAATACATTCTTCAACAACTTGATAGTTGTAAATATATAAATTATATTCATATGAAAAGGTGTATATTCCATATATATAAAGATATAAACATTTATTTTAATTGTTAAACAAAGTCATAGGTATGATGTCTCATTAAATACATTCACACTATGTATTATGTAACATACTACGTACATTTTAAACATACAATAAATAATTAATCAGATCAAATGTCGAACGAACCTCTATTATTAAATCCTACATTATATATTTGTGCTTTCAAGATATCAGTATTCTGTAATACTGACATCGCTGTAACATTTAAATAAAAACTAATTTGACATTTTCAAATGACAAACGGTTATAGATTATAAATAAAAAGTAATAAGGCCCGTTGTTAAAAAAAATAGATAAATAAAGTATTTTCGTTATTTATGCTTTATCTGATATCAGTTTTTTTTAATTCAATTTCCCTCCGTTACTCCTGTCTCTTGTCCTCTAGAGCGTATACGAGCGCGCACTCCATCTTACCTCGCAGCCATAATAAAACATCTGGATCAGGTATGTCTATTACTTTCTCATCACTTGAATAGTAGTTCGTGGCTTCGTCCTAGAAGAAATTAACAGAGATTTTAGAGTATTTTTTTGGGTATATGCTCATATTTAATCCCTACTAATATTATAAATGCGAAAATAACTCTGTCTGTCTGTTACGCTTTCACGCCTAAACCACCGAACTGATTTTAATGAAATTTGGTACAGAGATAGAGTTGACCTTGAGAAACAACATGGAATAGTATTTATTCCTGACTTTTGAAAGGTTCTCTTGGAAACACGATATAATTGAACTACACGCGGGCGAAGCTGTGGGCGGAAAGCTAGCCGATTATAAAAGAAAGTAGCTCATTGGAAAACTTTTAAGATACCAAACAATGACAATGATGTCTGACTGACAGAAGTCAATGAGACAATTTTCTTTACACGGAGTTTGAATTTTCCTTTTTTTATACAGGGTGACTGGTGAATTACTATCGATACTTGAGGACGTGATATTTGACGATCATATATGACAAAATAAAAATTAATATAACATAAATATTAATAAACTTCTAAGTAAAGTTAAACAAAAGTTATGTAATTAATTACGCGTCGTGTGAACACCCTACAGATTAGGTATACACACACACACACGCGCGTGCGGTGGCGTGGTGTTGTATCAGCACACCGCCGCACGCGTCCACACTTGGAACACTTGGAACGTGTCCACACTTTATTTATTTATACGGAAATTTGGTCAAAAATTAAGTACCTATTTTTTTTCATAATTCGAATAAGAATCATGTACCGAGTATTTTCCTTAAATATTGATAGTAATTCACCAGTCACCCTGTATAATAGGTCAATTTTTATTTCTAGAGGTACTTAATCATTGACGTGATATTTTAAGTTGTAAAATTTTAATAAAACGAATATTTCCGGACTACTTTGCGTACCTATTTTATAATTTCTAAAAACTACACACTCCTTATTCAGTGACTTTGCTGAAACCGTGATCACAGCAGACGAGATCACTTAGATCTCAGTTGCAAATGTACAATCAAATCCTATAGATATAGCAGACAGTACTTATCAAATAATGTTGCCTGCTAATCTGACCTCAAACCTTCTAAGTTCAATCATGTCCTCAGCTTCTAAACATGGTTTATTCTCTTAATGATTTATCAAACGCTATATACATTTGTTATTAATTCTTCATCATACCTGTCGTACGTTAAGGATGAGCCGTGAGCCGTCTTCACGTACATCCAAGATGTCTTGTAATCTAGCCGTCCATTGAGGTCGCCAGCCGCGGCCGCCGCTAGCACATGCTATATATACATGTCTGGAAAAATATTAAAAGATTAGCGTGATGTGAAGAAGAAAACAGTTGAAAAGGATACGCCATCAAAGTATAAAAAAGGTGTCTCAAAATTTACAAATGTCATTGGAATTTATATTATGTACCGTTTATGTATTGTACTTCAAGAGTACTGTTATGAGCCTCAGGATCGAAGGTTTTAAAAAAAAAATGGTTTAATGTGAAAAGTAGACACGCTACCGTTTTCAATGGATGTTGGATTGAGACTGAAATGTTTGATGGACGGCTAAGCTGGGGCAAGGAGAAGAAGTGCTGATGAGGCAGGAATAAGGTATAGAATCAAAAGAAAAGGGTGCATTGGGAATATGTAACGGTACACAAATCTACAACAGCTTAACATATTCGAATGTACCCATCCCACACACATACAAAGATAACTAAATAGAGTTGTTTAGTAACAAACTAACTGTGTAGTTATAAGTAGAGTGGTGAAGGAAGGTACGCCTCCCAAATGCAGATGAGCCACCACTTCCTCATCGGTCTGCCCGCGACAGAGCTGCCTGAACAACACCGCGCCACGAGCCGACCACTCACTGTAAGGCTTGAGACCCTGGGTAGAACGTGGTAATTAATAATTTTGTTAACTTTTTAAAGAACTCCTAATTTTAATGAATAATAAACCTTTAATATCTAGTTGTGATCGACATTAGTATTGATATTTATTTCAGTTCTATTGATATGTATTTAACATTTAAATAAAACTAATATTTTTGAATGTACTGCAGTCGTGTTTTTAATTATTTTAAATTTTTTTTATTTCGTCTGTCCGTGATCACGGTTGCTGCAAAGTAATCAAAACGTCGAGAGTATATAGTTTAAAATTATAAAAATAATGCGATAATACATTCGAAAATATTAGTTTTATTTAAATGAATATTCGATAATGTTTTGGATATACTGTGGTATTTTATATTCAAAGAGAAAGAAAAACAAAAATATAGACATTTAATTCGTATCCAGTCTCGAAAATTTTTGTATTCCAAATATCTAATAGATTTAAGTCCATTATCATTATCAAATACATAAACATATCTATTATATAATTCCTGGCTTTAATATCCTTGTAATACCTCAACATTCGAACAATGTCGAGGCAATCTCTTCCTTGCTACAAGCCTGCCGGCGGCGCGCTGACCGCATGCTCTCAGCGCGGTGTCGGCGCCGTATCCACACACACTCTGTGACAGGCGAGACGCCTCGCGACACACGTCTGGGTTACCAAAATAAATGCATAAATATATAAGGAACCCTATTTTATATTAAATCTATTTTTCTCTACGATAATCGATAGCATTACTGGATTGTGTCAGAATTAACTACATGTTAGGAATTGACATTAATGTCACTAAGTTAAGAATAAATTATCGTCTACAGTGAACTTTCATACAAGATTTTATAGTAATAAGATCTACTATTACAAAATACAGTCTAAGTATTGAAACGGAACATGCTTTAACAGAGCTGCTGATTGTATATTTTCACAATATCGTTTTAAATTAAATATATAACATATTTCTATAAATAATTAAATAAAAATGTCAACTGTCAAATGTCAATGATTGCAATAAATACACTAAAATACTCACATTTCATAACAACAAACTCTTCCTCTACACATCCACATCGAGAGACAAGTAAAAAGAAAAATAAACGTGTGTATATTAAAGCGACTAACGATTAAACTTAAAATACATAAATGAAAAACGTGCTCTTACTAAAAAAACATTTAGACTTTGAAATGAAATAAAGAAAGTTATTACTAAAACATGACAACCATGCAATTATAGGAACGTTTATAAAAAGTATTTTATTTAAGAAAACCAAGTAAATTGGTAGATAATTTAAAAAAAAAAGTACATGCATGTTAAAAAGTTTAGTTCAAATGAGTTAAAAATCTGTTTGATAAAGTAAATAATAATTAACTAACCAAAGTTAGGTCTTCCAATGAGTCCGGTTATGGCCAACGCTATACTTGCCGGGTTTTTCTTATTTGCTTCTATCACGGCTTCTGGAAGATTGTCAACGATCTCAAAATCGTCTCCTGGAAAAATAACAACAAATATAAAAAAGTGTTACTTATATCATTTACAGTTTGAAATATTATTTAACATTTCTTATATTCAAGTAGATATTTAGCAAAGTATGTGCCATTGCGTCTTTCCCTACTAATATTATAAATTCGAAAGTAACTCTGTCTGTCTGTCTGTCTGTAACGCTTTCACGCCTAAACCACTGAACTGATTTTAATGAAATTAGGTTCAGAGATAGAGTTGACCTTGAGAAAGAACATAGGATAGTTTTTATCCCAGACTTTTGAAAGGTTCTCTTGAAAACGCGATATAACCGAACTCCACGCGGGCGAAGCTGCGGGTGAAAAGCTTGTAGATCTATAAAGTATATAAGGATTTGATGATTGCATTGTACTATATGTATCAGCGATACTCACCAGAACGACGTTTGATCTTAGTTTTGAGTATTTCATCTCCAGTAGTAGGCAAGTTTATCACGGTTGGAATCGAGCATAAAGAACGGCGGGCACGCGCTGAACCCTTCAAAATGAAATGAAATGAATGTTTAACGGCTAAGAACTACAGTAACACAAGAATCTAAATGAAACCATCAGTTGAAAGCCTTGAAATATATCCTTAAATTGACTTACCATGCAAGGCTCATAAAAGTCTTTAAGTGCCTTGGAAAAATCTCCAATGTAACTGTACGGATTGCCGAGAATATTAAGGCCGAGCACCAGCACATAGAACTGCTGCACCAACTGCAAGCGGTAGTGGCGAGTAGCAGCGTCCAGTAAGCCAGGAAGACTGATCGGTGTGTTATGCAATTCCAGAAAACTCATTCTGGAATAGTAAAAGGAAATTATTAAACGATTTTATCGAAATATTATTGATCGAACTTATTGGAATTGGTATTACAAACCTGAGAACAACGTCTTTCATGTCACAAAGAGAGGATCCCCACGAATTAAACAAGTACTCCAAGAGATCACTGTTGAACAGTTTTGGTCGATTCTCTTTTAACCCGTACGTTATCTGTGTTGGACTATCGACATTCTCATTTAAGTATCCCCTGGATGATAGGCTTAAAACAATTTTCAACGGAGATAAATGAACATATTCAAACACGACATCCTTCGTCGCGCTGGTCTGACTCCTCATGGCTATAACAGGTAAAGGCATGTGCACTAGAGCCAAGTCCGCTCTGAGCCTAACAGCAGGCTTCTCCTCAACCTTCCAATGATTCAAGATATCAAAAACATGATTAACAAAACCTCTATCTAAGTTGACGCAGTGCTCTTGTATTAAGACCTTCAAATATTTGTACACGTCTTGGTTGAGACTCGGTCTGTATTGTTTTAATATAACAATATCCACGCATGGCTTAAAGTCACGGGACTTCACGTTGGGGGTTAAAGGAGCAGGGTAAAGCACGCTAGGGAACACAGCTTCGTGTAGCTGGTTGTCTATTTGTAGTCTCTGTAACTTTAAATGGCAGAAAGTAAAGGTATCGGATTTTCGGAGCTGCAAACATACTCCTGGATTGTAAGTTCTTCGAAGTTCAGAGAAAAATGGTTTAGTCATGTGCATTTTTTCCAGATCGATATGTAAAAACTCCTTCAACTGACATTTCTTTTGCTCTGTTTGATATTTTTCCTCGACCCAAGCAGTAACATCTGTTGCTAGTTGTTTCCAATTGTTGCCCACATTCACTTCCCATCTCGGAACAGAGTCTGTACAACTCACGTAGGACAGTTCCTTGACCCCATCACTTGTTTGAATGCAAATAGAAAATCCAACTCTAGCCAGTGACAAATTGACCTCATAGTTGCTTAGCTCAGAATTAATTCTCATTTTGTACTGATGTGCGATTTTCTCATCTTGAGCCAGTGCGTAAACTCTTTGGTAACCATCCATAAAAGAAACCCAGTACACCATGACTTTGTCTTTTCTCACCTTTTTGGCTTTAGTGTGTGTTTCTGGTATATCACAACTGTCTGAATCACCACTACTGGAGGAACCAGGTTCCGGAGATTTTGGAGTCAACCGTTTTAAAGTAGAAGACAATTTTGAAGTGTAACTATTTGTCACCACTAGTGTGGAATGCTTGACTGAATGAAAACTAACTTTTTCTTCGCCAAATCTAAAATTGATAACATTTAATGAGCATTTATAGGTAACAGTATAATTATTAAGTTACAATTATCCTTGTTTCTTACCCATCCTGCGAGAAATCTGCAAGGAAGCCTTTACCCTTATTGTTATATATGTTCCATAGAAGACTTCTTTCCTTCACCGGATCGTCCCAAGTATACAGCATAGATTGAAATGGACTCAACAAAGCCACTTGACCAGAGTCGACCTGCAAAATAATTATAACAACGTTCACTTCTCAAAGAACTCTAACTATCTACTATTCATAATCTGAATTGTTATACAATAATAAGATCTAAGAATTTCGCGTGTACCTATTCATTTAAATAAAACTAATATTATTGGGATTACTACCCGTATTTTATTATTTAAAAACTACATACTCCAAACGTCGGGAAACGTCGGGAGTGTAGAGTAATAAAATAATAAAATACGCTTAGTAATCCCAATAATATTAGTTTTGTTTCATTATTAAACAACATAAAAAAATATATTATTTAAATACCTGATGCAGTTTTAGAAACAGATCGTCACAGAGATTGTCAATTCTGACGGGAGCGTCGCCCGGGTTGTACGGACGGAAAGTTATCGTGAACGGCCTGTCCGTGCCTCCTGTTACATCCACACATATGGCGGTCTGAAATGATAGAATTATATTAAGATATTAGGAAAAAATATATGTATTAGATTATAAGATAATTTAATATTTGGTTCTATCTTAGTAATTTAATGGGACTTTGAATACTTAAAGATGACACGAGGGTTTTCTAAAAAGAATATCTAATATGATATGACGAATCATTAACCTGTTCAATTAAAATGACTGCTGTGTCAAAGCGATGATGATGGTTTCTTAAACTAATAAGTTTATAATAAGTGCCAAAATGAGAAATAAGTGAAAATCATCAAAAAGACTCTTTAATAGCTCTTTCGAGAGTTATTAAAATAAGAACTTATAAAATGATTTCTTTAAGTAACTACATATGTTTTTATGTTTCAGCTTGAGGCTGCAGCATCTATTAAACGAGGTAGGTATTCGTTAATTACAGTACTCTTAAAAACTATACTAAAGTCTATATCGTATCAACAAATTGGCAATAATTATAAATTTAATGAAGTGAACATAATATTTTCTTTTGATTAATATAAATAAATGTATTTCCTTTTTACTATTTTATCAGTTTTATATTTTGTTACTGTCATTCCGATAGCCTCTTGTTATGAATTTACACTACAAATAAAATAGTATCAAACTCAACAAACAAAATAGACCATACGATATTAGGATTTATTATATTAGTAGACATTATTATTGAGTTTTAGAACCTATAATTTTTACAAAACGGAAACACGTGTCATATTTTAAAACGCGTTTAATATCCGGAAGTGTGTGTGTGTGTAGTGAGTGGGGAAGACACTAAACTGTAAAGTAAACAGTTTATTAGACATTGTTAGAGCTTTCTCTATAACATTATGTGAACATGATTCAGCCCGCGGGTTCGTTCATTTTGATTATTGTTTTCTTTTAAAACATCTATTGCTCAATTCGTAGCGTATTTTTAAAGTAAATATTTTAATGATATTCAAACATAATTACTCGGTAGTGACTCTGAACAGGTTTATTTATAATATAAGTAAGAGTAACAGTAAAAACCTACTTTTAACATTGTATCTTTGTAACTGAACAATCCACATAATGTCTGTAAATAAATAAAACATACATGTAAATCGAATTACACAATATGTTACAGCAACACCGGACTCTAATAGCTTGTACGAAACTTTCTCCGCAACTTATATTCTCAAACAAATCTCGTTCCGGATCAGTTTTCAGGAAATATTATAACAAAATATAGTGCGAAATGCGGATTTTTATATTATTTGTTACATTGTGGGCGATGGAAGTGAACAGTTATAGAACTGGTGACTGTTACGAATGCAGAACAAAAGAATACATCAGAATCAAAAGAGGGAAATATTTTTCTAATCCACCGAGCAAGTTTTATGACAGACCGCCGTACAGTCCCTCTATCAAAGGACCATTTTCATACACTCCTCCCCCCGGAAACACTCCTAACGATATTGGCCCGCCACATCACTCACCAGCACGTCGAAGGCCATACAAGGTTAGTAAAAGACCTGACGAAGGTTTGGGAGAAGAAGACATTCATAATATAATTAAATATTTATCCAACAAAGATCTAAATAAGCTTATTGAAATAGCAATGGAAAGTAAACGTTATACCGGTTCCAATCAGCAAGCTGAGTCAACGCTAAATGAAGACGTAAATAATAGAAATAATGAACATGAAAATACAAAATATTTCATGGGAGGACTAACAAATACCGAAAAATATGTACCATATAGTTTTCAGAATAACAGAAATACGAATTATTTCACGAATAGCCACCAAGTTCCAGAATACAAACCGAATATGGAGCCAAAAGATTCGTTTTGGCAGGAACAGGTTTCATTCCTAGATACTTACATTCAGAAGGAATTAAATGAAAAGACTCAAGAAAAAATTAACATGTACACTGATAGTGAGACCATGAACAGAGAACAATTACCAAATACGTCCGATTTACATAATCATGATTTTGATGCGTCCTTCACCAATAACATCCCGAATGTTATAAAAGTAGCTTCATCTTACGATATTAAAAATTTTGCAAATCTTCCTCTCATGAATAACGAGAATTCTAAACTAGACACAGTCAACTCTTACGAGGTTCCACATTATACAGTAAGTATTGAATATCAAACAGAATTAAGGAATAAATTTAACTAAATATCCAATAAACTCCCAAACCTTCCAGAATGAAGAATACATAAATAATTATTAATCTTTAATTAATTTACTTTACTAATCTATGTCATAATTAAACAAATTTTCAGGTGACTTCATCTAAGCTGCCATCTTCTCAGATGTCGCTACAAAACCAGCAACCTTCCCCAACATTACTTCTACCCTTGTCACCATCATCTTTATCAATCAAAACGCCAGAAGTGGAGATGGCCCCAGCTCCCGAATCAGTTGCCAAAGATCAAAGCGAAGCCCATCTCAAAGCTATTAAAATCTGGACCCATAAATCCAAAGGCGTTGCCTACACTGTACTCGAAGATGGAACATTAACTCTCGAACGACCCTCGAAGACGTCCAATAAAAATGGTTGAGCCTACGATGTCTTTGTGTGATATAATTTAATTTATATTGTATTTTAATTATTATTTAAGTGGTATTGTAATTAATCAGTTTTACAAATACTGTTACTATAAGCAAATCTATAAAAATATACGAATAAAAAAATATAATTTTTACCCAAAAATATAAAAATTTGTACTCACTCCCTTATCCATCCTGAGTACTGTAAAATGATTCTTGACAATGGAGAAATGTTGAGACACGGTTGTGGAGTCTCTATACTTGACATGCATGGCCATGGAGTCAGTTTGAGGCCAGAAGGGAATACATTGTTGTGGGCTGAGGTCCAGCCAAAGATCGGCAGCTTCGTTCTCTTCCATGAAACGCAAAGGTCGACGCGTGTCGTTAAATACCATGAAGTATGGCAGGAGAGTCACGAGCTTTGTGAGCTGAGGGCACAGTTCCGAGAGGGTTACCTGTGCGGAAAAACATTAAGTTTAATATAACTATATTTTGAACCATATTATCTACTTTTTCACCTTTAGTATGATATTTTTTTATCAAATTTAACTTTATACTATGCTTAGATTAGATTACTAGATTATTAGATTATTACTATTATTATTACTATATTTAGATTACTATTAATGGTAGACTTCCAATAGTTTGTATATAAAGCTTTTGACCAGTTTACTTAAATAAATCGCTTACGTACATGTAGTAGCATTCTATAGTTCTGCCGTCTTTCTGCATGAGCACACACGAGCAAACCCGGGGCATGAGCGTGTGGGCGTGCAGCACGGGACCAACATGACTGGTGAGCTCGAACCCTTATACGGCCACGTTCACACCACAGCAGAGGCTCATCTGCTAATTCGTAGCATGTGTCCGAGTGACCCTAGGAAAAAAGTTTTAATTAGGAGTGGCTATCGATAAGAAAAAAAGTAGCATTTAAATGAAACTTATATTTTCCGGATTAATGATTTAAATGAATAAAATTCTCGACAGTCTTAGATCTCATTATGTAAAGGTAGCATGATTGAAAACACGACTCAATAAGTTTAAGTATGATTAATTCATCAAACACAGATATAAAAATAAAAAAATAAAATTATTATCAAATCAGTCCCATAATTACTTCTTAAACCTATTATTCAGATCAAACAGGTGTTTCCAATGTATAACCCTCTGCAGTTCTATCATTTCCTACCTTTATCTGCAGCGGCAGGCCAGTCTTGTTAATGATCCACTCCGGAGCGTACAGCAGCACTCGTCTCTCGGCCTCCGCCCCGTCAGCTCCGCCGTGTTGTCTCGCACGAACACACAGACGTTTGTTGCCACCCTCTGTTTCCATTTCCGTCGTCATGCTTATCGTCTTCTCAACCATATCTAGATTGGTAATTTGCTTGGTTTAGGTATGTAAAATTTGTTTTATGTATTTTCATTGTTATATTATCCTAATACAAATATTCAAAAGTAGAATATATTTTCTTTCAGGAGTTTTAAAAAAGAACTTTTTACCTTTAGGAGCGAATTAGCTTTAAGCCTAAATAATGCTAACATATATTAATGAAATGATCATAAAACTCGCAACAGGATATAATTTAGAGAACATTATTGAAATCAGTTTCAGTGTAGCAGATGTCTTGTAAATGTTTCTTATGTTTTTAAAAGTATTACTTACCAGGTGACAAAGTAAACGAGCCCGACCACGGCAATCCAAGATAGTGCATCTCAAGTGTGAGTCTGTGTGAGTCCGATGGAGGGAGATGATAAAGATGAGCACGTTCGCCTGCCTCCACCCTCAAGGACGCTCCTCCTGATACTTGCAGCGCGTACGGTAACCGATTGTGAAGGGCCAGAGGTGGTAAGATACGTATCAACAAGTTCGGTATTGATCTCGACACTTTATTTGCTTTGCAACCTGGACACAATAAAATATGATATTTTTGTTTGTCTATTAACATAAAAAGTCAAAGTCTTCTGTATTCACCTTCCACAGCTAATACTCTCATTGCAAAAACTCCGTTATCGTCATCAGCCATGGCTGGACAGACTAAATCCCTGGCCGTCCCTAATTCCTTTACCAACTCCATCCACCATAGACCCTGGGATGATGCTTGATAACTCCTGATATAAAAGTAAATATTATTATTCTTAGCTGCTATATGAAGATATATTTAATCTTTATAAAAGTCTTACTCGATGCTGCTCGGCAGAAGATACAAACGGCAATGATAGGCCATGTATAGCGGCACATTGTAAGTATCGTGAGGTGCGAGCACAGCCAGTCGCACCAGGCCGCAGAAAGGATTCCTGACTGCACCAACGGGTTCAGCTCCTGCTGCTTCCAATTCTGATTGACGGTAGAGGAGTTCCAGAGCGTATGAAGTTTCGTTGCGAACCTGAGGAAGGTCAGATGGGATAGTTCTATTAAATGTCCTCATACATATGTGCATGCCTAAACAAAAACACAGCTTAATGTTAAAAATTAATAATTTTCGTCTAGTTTTTTAAAAAGGGAAACGACAGTTGAATTTTCAATATTTATATTTTCGTTTTAATGTACATTTACTATTTTAATTGATATTTACCTGCAACGGTGACCGCACCACGATCTTCTTGTAGTTATAGCTGGCGCTGCGTTCCACTGCGATGTAGTAGCGCGTGTTGTTCCTACTAGGATGCAACACGTGGAGCTTGGACACTGAACGTTGGGGACATACGATCTAAAATTGAAATTAATTAATATTATGAAGCGTATACTCTGAGATAATCATTTAAAATGTACATGTACAATATAATAAATCCAAAACAAGAAAAAATAACATATATTTTACTTTTAGGTAGCTTTTTAAAATTAACGTTATAAAATTAAAAACAGCTCTTGTTTAAGTTTTTGTTCATTTTTTTGATAATAATTGTACAAAAACTATATTGACTGCCCAATATTAACTTGATTATGATAGGACACATACGTTGAGTTGGTCAAAGTCGAGCAACTTGACTGATAGTGTCAAGTCCGTGATGCGGCGTCGCAACTCCTCGACGGAAGGTTGGCCCACGGGTGATTGATGCTCTGAACCTGTTGGCGCTGAGGCACCGAAACCTCCTTCGAAACTAAAGAAACACATGTAACTTTGATTTAGATATTTTCTCTGGGAATTTATGGTACTCGAGGAACTTTGAATGGTAGAATTTATTGTAACAGGGATTATTATCTATTACAATGTAGTTAAAACTAAATTAATTATGCCAATATATAATGGTTACGTTTTGTTGCTACATACTTATTGTGTTAATTAATAGATTTTCACTTATGTTTCACTATAAGTGTTTCTTAAAAAATTTTAAACAGACCAGTCCCACTCATCGCTGATATCTGTCATCTCCTGTTTTTTATTTACTTCATCCTCCAGAAGATCGGCACCTGATGTATCACAACCTGCCATAAGAACAACAATTTATGGACCAGACCAGTTATAAACAAAAATCGTTCGAAGTAACGATTCAGTGCTTTTGAATAATTTGTTTCGAATCTCCAACATTTATGGTTATAGAATGTTTTGTTCATATTAATTTACCAGGAGTGCTGGGCCGGCTGCCAGAATCATAATCAGCGACGGCAAGAACGTAATCGTTCCCGGCCAGGTCAGTCTGGGCGTGTGTTCGAAGTGTCACCGTTGAACCCGGACCTGATATAATATACATTAGCAGACGTTACATAGCTTACTTTAAGCTGTAGCATTATTAATTGTTTGGCCATTGAATATGTTCTTTAAGCCTAATACTTTTTAACCATTATAACCCTGAGTTAGTTCTTAATTTTTCAAGTCTTACCTATATCGTTGATCAACTGCAGACCGTTCTCTCCCGCCACTAAAGCAGTCACAGCAGCTGTTCTATCACATATTGCAGTTGTAAGAGCTTGAAGCGCTCGCACCGCAGCCGGGGCCAACGTCACCTCCAGTGGTGACCGCGCTTCAAGTGTGATGTAAGTACACAAACGATCTTCTGTTGACGAATCTACACTGTCCTCTCTCTCTGGTTCCTTTAATTAATATTTAAGTTATAAGAAAAACAATTGGTTTGTGTACTACGAACAATCAATTAAAATAACATGGCTCTTTCAAACATTAACTATTTATGTCAGTGTCACTCTAAGAGGTAGAGAAAGTTAGTGAAATACCATTTTACCCATCTTCTAATAGTACCTGTAGTGTAACATTTTTACTGTCCCCCTTCTTCTTATCTTCTCCGTCTACAAACGACACCGCCACTTCTTCAGCATCTTCCCGTTCGCTGGCTTCAGCTTCACTCTGCTCTGGTGCTGAAGAATCTTCGTCGTTGCTTATTTCATCCATGCTCGAGTCACTACTGATATGAAAAAATAACTTTGTTAACTTTATTTTTCCGTTTGAATAAAAATGTTTTCAATACGATTTATGTATAATTGGATAGTGTTACATTTTTACATATCTTACTCTGTAAACAAATGTCCTATAGCATTCGTCAATTTATCCTTTTCATTTTCATTGTCAGAATCAGAATCTTCATAATCCATTTTCTTTAAAAATGACAAGTTTCCAACTTTATAGTCCATATTGTAGTTTTTATTTTCTTTTCCATTAGGATTTCTGATGAACACCATTTCATTGTCCGTATCAGCTTCGTCAGCTGAAGTTTCAGATTCAAAAGCATTTTTTTTCTTTGGTTTCTTAACTAATTCTGCAGCAACACTATCACACACGGTTTCTTCTTGTTGTTTAGATTCTAGACGCGATGATATCGGGTAGGATTTCTCCTGTAACATACATTTTTAATAATTGATCACAGCCATAACTTCTATTTTAATAAACTGCGCCCTAACTCTGGTAGGACTACACTTCTACTATTGTATGAAATGAAGTAAGAAAAATATTTTCAAAAAAAGAAATCCTCGTAGGTCTCTATTGAATGAATCAAAAATGACTTCCTATACATTTTTTTAAAAGACTAATGAAATATATTTAAAATTCCATCAGAACCAACCTGGAATACAGTAGCAGTAATCTCCCATGGCTTTAAAATGTTGTCGACCACTTCGGTCTCCAGTAGCGGCTCCCAAACTGCTGCGCGTTCGTTATAACAGCGTGCCAGTAAATGAACTGTACCTCCACCGTGCAGGGCGCTAGACCACTCATGAAGAACTGCCTCCAAGGATAGCTAACAAGAAAGAAAAGTGACGAAAAGTCTTTTGTTAGTGAATGTTAAAGAATATTTTTGGCGATTTAATATAATATTTTTGTAAACCTAAACTCTATAAAACAGATACCTACCTTAACTAATAAAACTGGAACCCTCACAGTGTGTTCTATCTCAAATGTGATACGAATTTTTGGCACATTCAACATGAAGGTCTCAGTAGACCTCATGGTAGGATATTTAGGTTGAACGTAACTGTTGTCTGGGTAGCCCATGTATGGTGTTATTTTTTTAGGAGCCCAGAGGTCCTCATCCTGTTTCTCTGAACGAGGATTGTAGGTCGCAAAATTAAATAGTTCCTTATCATCAGGAACTATAAGTTCTGTTGTTATTTCTTCTATTATGTCTGAAATATACGTTTCATTTGAGTTTTCGTTTTTATTATTAATGAACAATATTAGTGTGACCATTTTAATTTACCCATGACAGTATGCACGGTTGTTGGAGCGATATGTACATCAACTTCTGAAATCGATAACTTAACCATAATTCCTTCTTCCATGGTCTTGAAACTCTTGGAAAATTCTAGATCACAAGGCTTCAGAACCAACTGAGGTGGCAGATTCTTTAGTTTGGACTGCAGTTTGGACATCATTTGTAAGCCAGCTAACGAAATGACAAGACTTTCCGTGTTAGAATGGCTGGAGTAATCTATAAGAAGTTCAGTCCGTAGAAGAATGGCGTGACCCTCGGTTTTGGTCAGATCGGTGAAAAACATTATCTCTGGCTGCCGACATTGTATGGATATTGATAAACTTGGCATATCCTCACATATTGATGTTGCTGGAATATAATAGTTTTCATATCATCATTTAATTTACTCATACAAAAACCCTCGAAACGATACATGATATAATTCTGTTGAGGTTATAGTTTTCCAATGCTTTTTTTACATTCTTTTTTTAACACATTGTAAACCATATTTCCTAAATTATTTATATATGAATCATTCAATTTTATATTAATCTCAAAGGTGAAGAATTATGTTTACCAGTAGAGAAATATCCACTTGTAGAATCAGTCGAGGCTGGCCGGGTGCGCGGACGAGGAGCATCTCCTACATATCCGTGATTTATTACTCCACCTTCTAATAGTCTTTCGCCTACGACAGACAAAAAATTCACTTATAACTATTTAGTGTGAACGATACTAAAACTTTTCACTGTAAAAATACTGTCAATGATTAGAATTATATCAATAACTATTGTCAATTCAAAATTTATAACTGAATTACCTGGCAATGCATCCAAAAGCGTCCTCGCCAGACGCAGTAAGAATGGCAGCGACAGGTTGAGTCTTGTCCTCTCAACCCTCGCATCTAAGGTTGTCGCCCTCGCTGACCGTCTTAAACCACATTCTATAAGCGCTGGACGAGATACTGAGAATCCTGAACCAGCGACCTTACCACCACCTTGGGATTCTAGGATCCTGCAATTATTTTCTATATCAGTTTGTTGTCCAAAAGATTAAACTTATTTGGATCGTTAAAATTAATTAAACTGGAAATACAGAGACAGACGAAACTTCTAAGCATTAAATGCATTCATGGTGCGGGTGCCAGGTCCATCGCGTTACAGAGAGAGGAGCTTCAACAGTACCTGGGACTGGCGACCCAGGTGTAGGTTTAACTTAACTTACTTTTAATTAAAGTAATTTTAATATGAAAAGAAAATTAAAAAGAACCTTCTAATCACAACACCGGAGTCTTGTCTAATATCCTCAACTAGTAGGCTTTGAAGGCTGGCTTTGGCCTCCATACTTCCATCAGAAAAGTAGTCTACATGTAGGTTCGCTTCTCCAGCTGTTAGCTTAGCCAGACCATGATTAAGATCACGAACCGGAGAACTGAGTATTTCATCCATATCCGAAAACAGTTTTAACTCGATACCTTCCAAAGAAAATCTGAAAAGTTATTTAAAGTATCTTGAAGTTTAAGAAAATATAAATACATGTAAGTAACTGTAGTTAGATATTTAGCCTTTCAGGGAATTTATTACTGTGGTATTAAATATTTTAATTTTTACCTGAAAACAGATTCCTTTTTAACTGGATCACCTTGAGCGAAAAACGCCTGTAGTTTCTTAACCGTCGCTTCAGACGGTGCCAGCTCGACCGGTGAACTTGGGACAATGCTTTCTGAAAATATTAATAAAACTAAAATTCAAACCAAAAAAGTTGCACCAATTATGTAGATTACACTATATTATATTTTATTAACATATTAATAAACAACAAAATCAAGAAATAAAGTTAAAGCTCTGTAGGTCACTAGGTTTATGGTCCTCATTACACGTACAGATAACATTTTTGAATTGAGAAATCATGGATCTTTCTTGGATCTTAGGATTTTTCATAATTATATTGAATTATGTATTTTACGAAGTTCTTTGCCTACCAATGTAATGTCCCTCGCTCAAGTTATCAGTCCACACAGCGAGCACGGTCGCGAGGTCCTTCTGTCCAAGGTTGATAGTGACGGTATCCATGACTACATCCGCCTCACACAGCAGCAGGTCTCTATGAGCCGAGTTGATGTGCACGTAGCTGACTGTGTGCTTGAGGTCACATCTCACTGAAATCGGCTCCAGGATCGGCTCCTTGACAACGAGTTACAAAGAAAATTAATGCTAATATTGAAGAGTCTTAAGATTTCATTGTTTTTGACAGTTTTTATAATGTAATTTAAACTAGATCACCTCACCTGTACTTCTAAAGTCCCAGCCAGCGTCATAACGGCACGAGAAAGAGTAATATTGACGAGTTTTATCAGCACGTTATCAATGACGGGGCTCTGTATAGGAGTGTTCGCCTCCAAACTCGCGTTAACCGACTTGAAGAAGTTTTCGATCAAGAGGTCACCTGCAATGACATTTATTTTAATATATAATGAAACTCTCAAATTAATGAGTAGAGGGACTTAAGTCCATGTTAATTTTTAAAAACGAGTTAAATATAATACATTTTAATGAAAGTATATAACTGCACTTTTTCGTCTTTAATGAAAAATAGTTACCCATGTTTAAAACTAATAAGTTTGGAGAAGAAGGTTTTTGTGGTAGAAGTAGAACTGGAGCATGAATCTGGAATTATATTAAAAGAAATATAATAATTAATATGATAAAGTGGTAATTACTGAATTGTTAATATATAATTGGTTCGGTAGCTTACCTCAATAGCCAAATTGACCTTGACGGGTGCTGCTCTTATTGCCCGCGCCCTCTCCTGGGCCACTCTCTCAGCAGCAGCCGCAGCCTCGTTGGCCGCCGAATTGGGAATCAGAGGCTCCAGGAATTGCTAGGTACGAAATGGTAGCTTTTTACTTAAATACAAAGTAGTGGGTACGTCGATGGGTACATTTCACAAAAAACAAACACTGCACTGCACTTTTTTTGTTATGAATTAGATACCTCATAAATTATGGAATAATTTCTAAGTGTAAATTGGTATGTTTACTATGAAGTCTTACTTGCAACTGCCACAGCATGGAGCACATCATCACAGCATGAAGCCGGCCGACCCGTACCCTAAGCTCGGCGTCATGACGAGCTCGGGCACCGATTGCAGCACGAACGTACTTCAACTCTAAGACTTTGTCCTCGTCGGGCCACACCAACTATTATTGGAAAGTTACAGTTAGACAATAGATAATTAATTAATATATTTCTTGGCCCTATAACTGGATTAAACTCAAAAAACCTCAGTTGATATCCTTGTAACAAAATTAGAGAAAGGAAAGTTTACAGGTAAAAATTCTTTTGTCTTTTATATGTCCAAAAGATCACACAAACCTTGGGATAGAGCGTGGCTTCAGCTAAGTCATCCACCTGCAGCGAGCCCAGGAACAGCTTGAAGATCAACCTGTCGTTGGCTCGGAACACACAGTCACTCTCTAAAGAAGTGATACGCGCCTCCACCAAGGCGCTCTCCGCGTGACAGAGACGCGCTGTTATTGATGAAACTCTGTCACATTCAATAGTATTATTATATAGAATTTATACATTCTATTTAACTTGAGTTTACTTAACATTTAAGTAATATTTTTTCTATAACACTTAGAGGTTTTTAGTTAATATTATATCATACCTCATGGAATAACTGAACTTGGTAGCCCCGGGCGGCACCGGCGGGTCAGCTTCTGGAGTCATCAGATAGTCCCACATCGTTGTAGTTCTCGGCAATATCAGATTCTTTATATTCACAGTGTGACGCTTCTGTATTCTACGAATATATTTATTACACGTTAATTGTACTTGTAACTTCGAAAGCTCATTCCTTTTTCATATATCCATTATAACGTCATGAAGAATTCTCAAGCTATTTAGTACTTACTTCCTTCTTACATACTGCAGGTAGTTGCACATAGCAGTGAGCGCGGGAGCGTGGGCACACAGCACTAAGGGTCCTGTGTCAGCCACCAGTGCCTGCTCAACGTTGTGGAAGTGAGATCTGAACTCGGGACAGTTGGCACGTACCTAGATGATTGTTGAATAAACGTACTTGTTAGAATTATCCCTACTAATATTATAAATGCGAAAGTAAACCACAGAACTGATTTTAATGAAATTTTGTACAGAGATATAGTTGACCTAGAGAAAGAACATAGGATAGTTTTTATCCCAGACTTTTGAAAGGTTCTCTTGTAAACGCGATATAACTGAATTCGACGCGGGCAAAGCTACTGGCGGAAAGCTGTAGCAATAATGTTGGTTTACTATAGTATCTTCAATTACCTTACGATAAAGTAAATTAAACAGTTCTCCGGAACTGGTCAGCAGCTCCAAGTATTGTCCAGAGCTGGTGCAGTGTTGTTTGTCTGCGAGCAGCACGGATGCGAGTGACAGTTGTAGAGCTGGTCCGTAACGCATGAGAGCAGCGTCTGCGCACACCGCGCTCACCACCAGCATCAGGTAAGGCTTATCAGTGAGCTCGCTGGAGCGGTTCAGGTTTATTACTATCTCACCTAAAAAAACGATCACTTATACTAATACTTGGACATAAACACATTCTGCTCTATGGATTTACTCGAAGACTGTCTAAAATTCAAAACTTCTGATTGAAGTCAAGGAGGGATAGAATTCCAAATGATTAGTGTCATAAGTTTCATTTCCTGACCTATAATGAATCTCATGAGTGTGTCAATAGTGTTGCTTGGTGACACGTTATCATCAAAGCCGGGCAGGTCAACAGAACGAGCGAACTCCTCGACGTCCTCGTCACTGATCTCCGCGAGAGGAACGGACTCCTCCATTGGAGATCTCATGCTGTCACCATCTGCCTTGCTTTCAGCCCTGAAGTTGGAATTTGTGATGTTATGTATCAAAGATAAAGTAAATTTTAAAGGACAAGTTAATAATAATTATTAACTTGTTCTTCAAAATCCTATTCAATTAAGAAACTGTTTATTTCTTTGACTATTAACGGTTCATATCGGGACTACTATAATATGTAAATAGTAAAATAAAATTATTTCATACCTATTTCGGCTAAAATACGCTGCCACAATTTTCTGCCTCAGTCTGACAAGATCTTTGTATCCTGGGTCTGCGGTCACTCTGTCTAATTCCAGAACCTCCAGAAGTTCCGGGTCTTCGTGTTCTTCGACATAATCTCCAGAATCCATGAAAGACACAGGCACGGTATTCGGCACCGGGATGGGGAAGTTGTCAAAGAAGTCCAGGAGGTGTCCAATAACACGATCAGATAGATTGATCTTCAAACTCGAGAGTGATATGTTTAGTTTATATCTGTGAAGTAAACCAATAAGCATATGATTATTTTAATTATTACTTCAAAATACTACGATCAAAACTTATTTTCTTTATGAGTGAATCTTTTTAAGTGAGTTACCAATTCCAGGTTAAGCATCAACACGATACAAACCTGGGCAACAGTCGATATTCTTTCTTAATGCTGGTGGAGAAGACTAGGAGAGCCCTCAGTCGCGGGATCAACGCTGAAGACTGTGTCTTCCGCGCCTCACGCCAGCATGATGCTTCGGATAGAATGATCTGAGGATTCATTACATTTTGATATCGAATATAACGATGATTTGTTTTTATTTGTATAGATGCAAGTAATAATCAAAAGGATTATTAATTTTTCACAATAAGGATTTTTTTTATCTAGTATAAGTAAGAAAATTCCGCATTTGTATGTCAAGTGTTTTAATTCTCTAAATCACACATTTCTTCGACCCCACATACCTGTAAGATACACTCCGCATGAAACCTGTCATAAAGCCTCTCCTCCAACTCCATACACGTGGCGTCCTCCAGGGCTGGCTCCGGCGGCTGTAGCTCCGACTTCACCACCAATCGAGACACATCGATCACCATCACGCGGCCGGCTCTTAACAAGTTAATTAATTTATGAGCCTTGACAATAATATCAGTCCCAAAAAAACAACAGAACTTAAATAGTCCACCCAATAATACTCAAAAGCCCATAACTGATTGTAATACCAATGTGTCCTATCAAATAATAATCGAGACATACAGTCAATTACATAACAACCAATTTTTATTGAATTTCTTCTACTCTAACATAAGAAGCATTGTAAAGCCTGGTAAACTGGATGAGCTCAAGTGTATTATGTTTAAGAACTTTATTAATTCCTCAAAAGAAATACAAACATTTCACTTACTGAGAAACCATATAAAATAAAACAATTACAAAAGAAGCGCACAGAGATAACAAAGAATAGATAAAATAAAATATCACACGAAAGAGGGTAGACAGATCTTAAAATATTAAGTCTATTAATTTCAAATTACAAATCATATTATTGGCCGAAACCTGGATAAAATCGGAAAAAGACGCGGCTAATCTGCAAATACCTAACTACACACATTATTATAACTACAGAACAACTGGTAGATGTGGAGGAGTGTCTATTTACGTACATATACCCGCACTCAGAAAGTTGGTATTATATTCGAAATGCATTCAAAATCATCTTTAATCTTTAAAAAGTGCAGTATAAGTATCAATATTTTTCGTATGAGAAGCCTAAAACAGATAATCATTTTCAACTCAAATCACCGCACATATAAATATTTTTTTTATGAATCGTGCCCTGCTTATTCTGCACGTTCTTTCAGTGTTAGTGCTTATCAAATATGGGCTGTAAATAATAGTTTAGTAGTTATAACAGAAACTATAAACTTACTTAGAAAGACATCCATGCTCTGGCAGCACAATAACGGGACCCTTTATGTCCACATTCAGATGAAGCACATGTCTTCTGCTTATTGCATGAGCTAGCACGGCCTTACTCGCTTCAGTCACTTGTTCTACCGCATTCGAGACTTGTTCTGACAGTTCCTCGGACGTCATTGAGTGAGTTTGGAAGAAATTTATAAGTTCAGTAAACGCGTGCTGTAAATATACCAAGGTGTCAACTAAAATACGCCTTTCTCAAGACTCAGATTATTCAGGCTACATTGATTATAAAACAAATATGTCCACGTAGGTGGAAAATTCTCACCTCAACATAAATAAGTTCTATCGGTTCAACGTGGCATGTAACTCCTAAATCCGCGTGACTGTTTGCCGGATTTTTCTCAACATCTAAAGCTAGTACAGTTGTACCTAAAGACCCTTGAGCGGTTAGAAGTAATGGAACTAGATCTCCATCAGACATTCCTTCTACCACGATGCTTTCTGTCCGTGCTGATACCTTTAAAATAAAAAATACATATGTTTTATGATCTAGCAAACACCTTTTTTACTATTCTTGTTATTTAAATCAACAATATTCTTAAACTAATTTTTATATTAACCTTATAAGCTTTAGCTGCTGGTCTGGTCTCTAAGGAGACGAGGAACTGCGTGAGGTTCACCACCAGCACTTCCTTACTGCGATTCATCAGGGTAAAGGTGCAGTTCGCAAGTGTCAAATTTAATTTGTGCTCTAAAACAACCATATTATTACAAATGTAACCCCTTCAAAAATGAATTAAATATATTTCGTTCAGTAAGTTTTTACCAATATATTGCTTAGAACGATCCCTTGCTCCTTCTGCGTAATCAATCAGCTCGCAGACCCTCCTTCTCTCAGGACTGGAGAGATGGCTCCATATACTCCGTCCTCTCTCCGTCTTAACGCACAGCTCCATACCTTCGGTCTCAGACTGTGAGTCTGGCCTCCACCAGTCGAATTCAGTCTCCACCACCTCTATCCTGTCTGGTTCTTGGGCTAAGAGCTAAAAAGTGTGATAATTTTTATTAGTACTTCAGTTTTATGTATATTTAAGTAGAGAATGAGAAAAAATCATAATTTTAAAAGCCTTTTTAAATATACTTAAGATTCTTACTTCGAACTTGGCGTGTTCCCTCGCAATAACTACAGATATAATTGGTAGATTATCTTCACATTTCTGCAAGTCGAGTTTTATTTCAATGTCATTCGGGCTCCTGAGAGTACTCTTATACATTTTCTTATAAGCGTCATAGTTCTCCCTGTGTTTCTTTATAGCGGCCCAGGTGTAAGGCCTGACCCGTTGTTCTACTACCACGTTGTATGCATATTTCCACCATTTCTTTACATTCTTTGTGAGAGGTATTCCAGGATGTAGATGACGGTATTTCCTAAAATCGTTTCATCTCATACATTTATAACCGTTAGACTATTTTGTTTTTATTTCAGAATAAACTACTGTCTAAATAATTTTATTATTTTTTACCTATTAAGAGTTATCCTTTGGAATGACATAAGCAGGTTATGTACTGACAGGTACTGCCGCCGTGATAGCTGGAGGGCGATGTCTTGCAGCACAGCATCCAGCAGTAGTCGAGGTACCCGAGCCTCTCCTGAACGATTGATGATGACTTTCACCTTGCAGGTTACAGGCTTCAATACTGAAATGTTTACAAGTAATTCATATTATATAATGTTTAATATAACGCAGAACGCTGCTCTATATTCTGAGTCGTAATGGAATTGCAAAATTGCGTTGTTTTGAAATTTTATATAACATAGATTAAAGTCATTTAAAACAATTATTCATTCGACATAAAACTTCACATAAAGAGTGTCTGTTAGCAGCAAAATTATAAAAATATATTTTCTACAACAAGCTTCTTAAAACTATGCATTTATTAGAATAAAACTAATAGGATTTATAATAAAAAACAAACAGCCTTCAAATAAATCTGTGAAACTCGTAATATCTTACAGAACTCGAAGTCCTCATGATGCATGGAGAACTTGTCAAGTCCTGTGAGCATGTAGTGCTTCCAGTTGTAATACTGTATCGGGGTTATGTTGGCCACTTCAGCGTCATCTAAGGCCGTGGCTGTCGGGTTCCAGTAAAGCGACAGAGACTCAATACGCATCATCTGGTACACGGTCGACGCGTTGGCTGGGGTCGTTGATGACTTCCATTTACTGAAAATTATAGTTATTACACTGTTAGCAATTTTTTTATTAATGGGAGAAGCGACAAACTTTTCTGTCACTAAAGATTGTGTGGGATTCCTCACGTTAGACACGGAACTACCTATTAAACCCTCAACTATTACCAACATAGGTTTAGAAGAGCTAGTGAATACAGGGTAGCTTGACCACTCAACTGTGACGCAATTATGGAATTTCCCACCCCTTGTTTAAGACTGCTCCAAGTAATTGTAAGCGATGAATTAACATAACAATAATAATAAAAAATAAATGTGCCTTTTGTGTTTATTTACGGAAATTTACCATTTGCCTTTATTGAATTTTGTAAAAGAAAAATACATGAAGATAAAGCAATGTTGCACAATTAAGTGACCAGATATAAGAATTAATATTATATGTGGGTTTGTTTATTTTTTTTTTTAAGTATCGTTGAAATAAAAACCTGTTAGTGGTTTCAATGGAGAGACTCTGCAGACATAATCCGCAAGCCAGGGGCCCGTCCTTGGAGCTTATGGAGTCTTCATATCTCACGTGGACATTACGAATATAAATCTGTAAATTATTTACGATGGCCGTGAACAGATTCTCGAAGAAATTTTGTGGGCCTTTGAGTATTTCGCTCTCCGCTTCTAGATCTTGGAGGATTTTTCGTTTGGCTGCCCTTGTGAGACGCCTTTCGCGTTCAGGATCAAAGTAGCTGTTTGAGATGGCTGGACCCACCAGTATTAAAACATCTTCGATGTGAACCACCACGGGCTGCGTGTACAGACCCGACCACGGTATTTGTAGATTGACTTTGCCGATAGTTCCGATCTTTACATCGATGGGCAAATCTAATTCATACTGGAAAAATATTTATTTTATTAATATAAGCAGATAACATTTGTTATATATTCTAGTTCCTATCGATTATAATTTGTAATTTAGTCAGAACGCAGTAAGTGTAATTTTCGTTAATTAGTTCAAAGACGTCTCACCAGAGCTTCCGGTTTTAGTTTAAGGTCTGTGAGGTTGACGTTCCCGGAGAAGATGCCCACGTTGAGGTGTTCAGTATCCAGGTCTTGAACATACTTGCCGAGGAGGCGGTTCAAGATCCCAGCGACCGCGCCCTCGAACATTCTGGATAGTGTGTGTTACCGACTGTATAACATGAATTAAAGTTATTAATATTAAAAAACAACAGCTTATAATACATATGAATAAATAAAACTATTTATTTCAAACTGAAATCATTATATTTCACATACCATGCACCAAGAAATACGGTCCTTTAGACTTTTATGTCAACGAAAAGCTATCTTTGAATCTTGTTCATAATAATCTGGGACTATACCGTTTCATAATCAAATGAACATCTATTATAAATAGCTATAATAAGCAATTATCATCTTTATTACGATTTAATAAGGTCGAAAGCTTTTGTTTTTTCCTATTTAATAGTTAGCACATTTAACAATACGGTCAATCAAACGGCTATGTTTCTAAAGTCAACAATCTACGCCGCATTGTTTACACTTTACACGGCTAAAATGATATTGATTTTATGACAACCATTATCAGATAACGTTATCATGAAAGCGGCTAGTGATGATGTAATGGATTAATAACGATGGAGGAAACAAAAACTACATAAATAAATAGATTTTAAAACGACCCAATCCTTTAAAGGAAACTTTCAGCTTTAAACACGCTAGGTTTGAGTGTTTTTTTATGATTTATTAAATAATTATAAAAAAAACATACATAAATGAAATGTTTTTTATGTATATGTTAGTTCAGATTTTTCAATTGAAGGAAATTTATATTAATAATTAAGTTCGTAATGCAACTCTGATACATCAGTAAGCAAAACGATTGGTCGTAAGAATAAGTAGAAACAGAATTTTGAAGATATGGGAATTTCTTTTAGAATCACCTGGAATACTATTAATTTTCAGCAATATCAACTTGCATTATTTATCTTTTATAAATCTTCGTCATTTTTAGATCAATGAATATATTTTTGAATCCATATGGAATGACGAAGCCGGTGGAAATTCAATATTATTTAAGCGAATCAGTTACATGGAGGACATTTATATAAAATAAAGGAGAGTTTCTGGATTAATTTGTATTAAGGGACCTAAAACAACAGATAAAGATGATTCTATTAAGACGGAAGGTCAACAGTCACCAGGCAGGCGCGACATCGGTTAGATAACAGATGATGAATCGACAAGTCTAAAAATAGACTGAAGATCAAGGATTCACGTCCAACACTCAAACTTATTATACTATATATAACTTAAATATTTAAACTTCATAACAAAATGTAATAAATATGATATAATACACAATTTTATATATTATTCACTCGAATATACCCTCTATTATGACAAATAATGTATATAGATAGTAATGATTTTCTTAATAAATACCTGTTATTACATTATTCCCTTGATATGAACACGTCGTATTTTTCGCTGACGTCAAGGCTGTGAGCTCTAAGGACAGAGCTATGACAGGCGTCACTGAAAGCGCATGGCCGGGTGTGACGCATGCGTGCTTACTAAAGGTCGTTATGGGGGAAAAATGGCAAAGAATTGATATAAATACAAATTTTCAAGAAAATAATTCAATATCAAACATAAATACAAAGATATCAATTTCTAAACGCCATTAATGATTTGTTTACTGGGCCGCTTATTCCAAAAGTTTTATGGAAAACGCAACCGTGAAGTTATGATTTTGGGAATATGTCATCATCCTCGAAAAAATAAATCTTTAACTATTTATATATATATATATATGATAAGATGTATATCTTATCAGTTCCCTATTTGAGATCGCTTTGAAGACGAAGCCTTATAACGTACTAACTAGATACAGTACTTAGCTAACTAAGTATTGTGTCTTCTTTATTAGTAGGTATTATGTTTTCATAGATCCAAGAACGTTATAATGATCCTAGAAGTTATTTATTATTTCTCCTTAATATCTACGAGTATTTGCCTTTTTACTGGGTATGACAATAAACTTTAAGAGAGTTTTAATATCAATTAATTAGTATTGCAATTATTCCATTCTTAGCCGTGTCGTTTTTGGGCTTCTGAATAGAGAGGTAAAATTGGGAATACAAAATTAATATAGTTTTTAAATGAATGGTTCTCGTCAAACTTAAGCCGTCATTATTTGAATTATTTAACTACTACTATTATTCCGCCAATTTCTTACTGACGTTATTGAAATGTCTCATTAAACCTATGTATAATGTATATATTTTATGTGATGTGCATATCATTACGCACTATATTAATGTACAGTATTAACAAGAATTCCAAGCACATCAGTAGTAGTTTTGCTAATATCAACAGCTCAAATATTTTATTTATCATACATGTACAAGTATTTCTTGTTTACAACACGATACTAGATATCTATTAGCTGCCTAATCTGTTGTTACTGAGGTCAAACAAAAAGTGATCTCAATTATCTCATTGTAAAGACGTACTAACGTATATTATACTAAGTATTTCACTTTATTCATTACAAGTGTAGCGTCGTTGTACAGTTAACGTGAGGCCAATTGTTTCTAAAGATAATGATGAAATTTCTATTTGTGTTAATTTGTCTAAGCATAGCGGTAAGTTACAAGGAATTACATTAGCTTTTTACTACCTGTACTCTTAATTAGAAATTTAATAGAACACTTTTGTTAAAAAACAACAAATTATAAAACAACAGTTATAAATGTGAACATTATTTGGTTTTGATGTTTACGAAATACCCATTATTTTGTTATACCTAATATATTGAAAATGTTTGAAAAATAGATCTTTAAATAAATACTCTGTCCAAACTGGGTATCTATTTATTAAATACTTCTGATACTGGAATATTATCCATATCGACAAACACTATATGTAAGTACTTATAATTCAGATTTTCTTCTCAGTTTTATAAACATTTAAATTATTAACAGTTGAATGTTTAGTAGAAGAAAAAAATGTATTGACATTTTGTAAACCACCAAACAAGTTTTTTTTTGTCTCCAAATAATTTCATACAATAATTTTTCGGAATATTCATACAGATGAATATTCCGAAAAATTAAAATTAATCGGTCATGAGTGTCGGCCTCCGGATGTGCTAAAACGATGTTATCGATAACTTTTGACATTACGAAAATCTTTAACCCAAACACTATTAAATATAAAGACATTATATCAAATATGTAAGTAGGTTTGAAAAATATTTTTTTTCTTAAAACAAAAACATAATACTTTCAGGAGCAAAAAGAAATTATTTCATGATTGAAAGAAACCACCATATTATGATGACGACATTTTATCATGTATAGGTACACAAATTAAAATTCTATGAACAAAGAAACAGTAAGATACCATACGTAAACAAGACAAGATCTTAGCTAAAAGTACCATCAGCTCGCTCTGTACATACTAAAATATTGTAGTAAAATAGAGCATGACCGTCTTTAACGTTAATTCAGGTTTAAATTTAAATAATATCAAAGGAAAACAGCAACAATTTGTATATTAGTACAATCTGTGTTATCGTTGTAAGTAGGTAGATACAATGCTCTAAAACGCGATGGAACCTTGTTTATTTCATAGTTCTTGGTTTATAAGTATTCTTTTAATGAAAATACATTAAACAGGAATATTTTTTAATTCAGATATATTTTGCCAAATAAAAGTTCAAAGCCGCGAATTGTCTGACGGAGGATGTGAGTTTTGATTTTTTTTTTCATTGATTAAACAGAGCATATAAAAAATCTTTGGGTTCTATACGTGTTAAACCATAGTTATCAAAAATTTTATGTATATTGTTAATCTTCCAGACTTGTGAAGCTGACAACGCCGCTCCACCAGTGTTATGTGGTGTGACTCCAAACGCGGTAGGTCCTTTAATTCTCTATTTAAGATGCTCCTCAGTAAATCGTCTCGTTATCAGTAGGTGTGAGTTGTACCTACTGCTATTTGCTACTTTTATATGATGACATAATTATATTAACTTCCACGTTATTGTCTCTAAGATTTAATATTTCCCTAATATAACATGATCTTATAGCATCACGTTATATCTAATTTATAAGTTTATTTTTATGTTTAATATTTATTTTATTTTACAGATCTATCAATGTCTCGGTACACCAAAAGTAGTCAAAAAAGAAGCTTCCAGTCAATGCAGTTCTGACCTCGGAGAGGTGAGATTCATGATTAATAATTTCAATAATATTTAACATATGTAAATACAATTACTAAATATTATATACTATATATGCTACAAACAGAAATTCATTTATATTTATGTAAGCGAGATCTACAGCTTCACCTAGTAGCAGAAAATAATCCTAATTGTTTATATTATCTACATTAAGATACATATTACATTCTGTAGAATTAATATAGTGGTATACTTTAATAAATTAATGAAGAATATTTTTATTTATTTCAGTGTGAAAAAATGAGCTGCATTTTCAGTAAATCAGGCTGGATGAAAGACAATAAGGTTGATAAAGAAAAGTTCTCGGCGTACTTTGATCAGTTTGCCAAGGAGAACCCTGACTGGCAGGTAGCCGTGGAACACATGAAGTCCAACTGTCTGTCCAACGACCTCCCTCCTCAAGGTGTACATTTAAACTGTCCAGCATACGACGTCATGATCTGCGCTTTTGCTAACTTCATCAAGGTATTACGTATAAATGATTATTTTTGTTCTTGAATACTGGGACGAGACGAACCCTCTTACTGCTCTTAGCATTTAATGGATTAACCCTGAGGTTGCGGGGTCCATTGCAGAGACAGGGACAAAAACAGTGCCTGTTACTTGCGACCCAGGTGTAGGTTTAAGGGTCCCCTAACGCGCGTTAAACGCTCACCTCCACCGTCCAAGCTCCTCTCTCTACCTAACCAGATGTACCTATATTGCTACAACTAAACTTTAATTACGTAAATGTATGTCGCAGAGCGCTCCGGCCTCCCAGTGGTCGTCCTCTGCTCATTGCGACTACCCTCGACGGTTTGCAGCCTCTTGTCCAGTGTGCCCCACAGCCTGCTTCGCTCCTTCCATTCCCATAGGATCTTGCAACGCCTGTCTCTCGCTGCCGAGATCACCTTAGACTTTAAACAATTTTATACTCATATTACATAAAAGATTGTATTCTCTATCTTAATGTCTTTTTATTTTCCAATATCAACGAAAAACTAACCTATAAGTTTAACTAAATTTTCCGTACCCTTTATTGAAGGTACAAATAGCTGTCCTGCTAAACTGACGCTTTCGTTTATAGTTTTGTTTGTGGTATAGTGTCAGAAAACACAGCAAAGCGTATAATATTTTTTTATAGAGCCTTTGCCAGTAAAACAGCAAATTACTTTCAAGTCCTTAAAATACATTTTCTCTATATGCTTCATTGTTATATTACACATAGACAAAATGAAGTGATGTCCAACGGGGATGATCGCTGTTGTCTTATTTAATGATTCTGATGGATTTTATTACTTTTACTATAAACAATATTTTAGGTGCAACTGGCAAACATGTAAGCCAAGCCAAAATGTAAAGTGTTTTCCTGGCGATTATTTAAAATTACTGGAAGATCGAAAATTTCAGGTATTTTGGGAGATTATCTCGTGGTTACTACAACAAAACTGTTTTAAATATAAAATACTTGTAGGTTAGGTGTCATGGAAAACAAAAAAAAATAATATACCTAAGTTCTTAATCTGGATTTGTACCTCTTAACCACAAGCTTAAAACTTAGTAAGCTCAAAGGTTTTCATTAAACATTGTATTCATAAATTGCTATTTTGGAACTGCTATTTGAAAACAGCAAAATCTATCGAAGTCTATCTGAGATAAATTTCGGTCTTCTCATTTCTTATTATATCTTTAACTGATTATACGTAAAATTGTAATCGATAGCTTCTCATAACTATATTAAAACCAAAAATAAGTTTGACAATATTTTTTTGTTCTAAAAATTATTTTAATTTTGACAATCAAATTGAGCAGTCGTATTTTTATTTGTTAATATATTACGTGCAGATTGTTTTTCGAAGGTCTCAACTAGCTCTCCAAAAATTTAATATTAAGTTTTAACAAGTGAGGGGAGATGACAACAAAACAGCCTATATACTTACTATCGTTAGTTCGGCAGTCATTTCATATTAAGCTATCGTCCTAATTTATTTTTATAAGCCTTATAGCATAAAATTATGACACTGGCAGATCATATTAAAGTAACACAAAAAGGAGGTTTTATTGAAATAAAAAATAAGTTAAATAACAATAACATTTATATTTTTCATTTTTTACATAATAAGTATCACAAGTCATTGTTAACATCAAAGAAGTTTTCTTTCAAAACGGGCAAGGATTCTTCATCCCGTCTGTTTAAAGGCAGACTGTTCTCGAAATGTGGATATTTCGGCTGCCACCAGTCGTAGACGATTGTACTGATGACTGTGTCTATAACTACAGAACGTTCTGGAATTATATTCCTAGATATATTATAACTGCCAGAATTAAAGCCCAGATGTAGTCTATGGTGTCCCAGCTCCCGAGACAGAACTAGCCTTACTGATGATAGAGTCATACCCATTAGCGGAGGCACTTCGTGGAATCCCTTACACACCACCTGCAATGTATAAAAGACAATATTATAGGAGCCTTCCTAGGATAGACCTGCATAGTTCAAAAATTTACAAGCATTGCAACCACATGCTGAAGGCTGAGAATAACACCAAGTCTTAATTGATGATAAAATTAGAACAGACAATAATATGTACGTTTTAGCGTTGGCTAGGGAACAAAAGCATAATGGTGAAGGGAGAAACATGTAGAATAAACTTATAAGAAAAATTCCAATGCAGTCATTTTTAACAAAGGTTAAAAAAGAGATTTGCTGCTTTTTGAAGAAAGTAAATGTTAATCATTAGATAAATGTAACAACGTGTTCCAAGCATAAAGCAAAAAGCCTACACTCTCTAAAAGAAGTGGACAAGTAAATTAGAATATTGTATTATCATCAATTAAGATATTGAATGATTTAACCAGTGACATGAACTACAAAAACATGACCAAACCCAGTTTTACTAAACCTAGGATGACGTAAATATTTTCTTCATGTTGGGTTTCTACTAAGATCAAACCAACATTTTATAGTTGTGTACAAGATCAGTGTAGTTACATCGACATATATACAACTTTACTATGAATTGTGTAAATTATTTGTGTTTATCTTAAAATAACAAGGTTCAACCAAAGCTTAACACCACAACATGGCCAATAAATGAAAAGACCAAAACCACATGTACACCTTATAATATAGATTATCAGAATATTCTTATAAGCTTTAACATATATAATGGTTGAAAAATTCAAAAACTTCTACCTGCAAAACCTGCGAGTCTTCTTCTGGATTGGCATCAATCCTGCCGAGCTCCTCAAAAAAGTCCACTTTATTCTTCATCCTCTGAAGATTACATTTCTTGAGTTTGAAGTACACATACCAATACTTCTGGCCCCTAGTATACCATACATTGACACACCTACGACTCACGAGCTCGTAAGGCTTGGCGTCATGTACAGTTTGTTGTAAAGTTCTATGAACAAACACTTCATATGTATAATACAACCCTCGGATAACTCTCTGCCGTAAACCATATATTTTATTATTATTTTCAATCATAAGCTTTTCCGGCAAATTCTTATTATCCTGACAATATTTTCTGTACAGCGACCTCCAGAAAGATTCCCGTTTTGTAATAGCATAAGTTGTTTTATTTATACAAGCAAATCTGCCGACATCTTCTGGTTTTATATATGGTGATATTAGATACCAAACTATTTCTGGATATACTATCCCTTCATCACTTGTACTGAATTCCTCTCCTTGCTTATAAGACTTTTTCTTTTTGTATACAAAGTTTTTCAAACCATCACCATCCACTTCTTCAATTATCTCAAAATCATCATCACCAAGATCTTCCCAAGTTTTTTCCGGAATTACATCTGGAGCTACAGATTTTTTTACCCGACTGATAGCTTTTGGGGCATTTGCACTATCATTTATGGTAAAATCTGAAAATTATTAGTTTTTATTACTAGTTATTTATTGTAACATACTTAATAAAGGTTAGATTTCATAAATACTATTTTCATGAATTATATAAAAACGCACCTTTGTCGGAAAGTCCCACCTTTTTTTTACCTTTTTTCTTCGACATTTAATAACTTTTCCTAAAGTAAATATATCAACACGAAAGGAAGACGGCATTCAAACTCACTTTAACTCTGATTTTGGCTCATACCCATATTCTTTTTACCTTAAATATATTAAAAGAGAGTCTGAAAAGAAACTTTGAACACTTTTTTTGTATTTATAATTATTAAAAATAGTAACTATATCGTTTTTGACAGAAAACTTGTGAAATAGGTATATTGTCAATAGTCGCTCACAGAATATAATAACATCAAGGTTTTTAAAGAAATGAAATGTCAGAAGAAATATATCTTTAACTATAACAGGTTGACTATTAAAATAGAGGCATCCTTTTTAAAATCTGTGATAATTATTTAAAAAAAAGGACATGATAGTTTAACATTAAATTTAAAAATTAGTATAACATTTTTTCTTAATAGATATGAGTTCGATACTATTCATCCGGTAATTTTTGAAAAAAGATAATTTAAAATTTCATTTTTAAATGAAAGAGAATACGTATCTTCGTATAATATAAACAAAAATAAATTATTACACAAATTTCAGATTTTTTAAAAAACAATGACAGGAAATTTCATTCATAATTATTAGTAATGACCTCTATCGTAGTTTAGTAAAATTGGTAACAAAGAGTTGAATTTAAATTCAGATAGGCAGGTGTTTAAGTTTTCACAATTTATGAGTGTGGTTTATCATATCAAGCAAATATTATACCATATTATTTTTATGACTAATTTTTTTACAATCATCCCGTGCTATAAGGAAACAATAATTTATTCGAAATTTTGGTTGAAAAATGTAATTATTCGAAGTATTGTAAATGATTATTTTTGTGTACTAACATATCTATAATAGAAATATTATTTGACAATTTATTAGTGAAAACTGATTTTCAATAGAATTTATAGTATCATATAATAAATTGTATCAATTTAAATTTGCGTGAAAAATGTGAGTTACATACATCTTAAGTCTTTTTATTTCACTTAAAATCTTTAATATCCTTAGTTTCCTATGAACTCAATTTACTGAATATTTCTTAATAATAGCCCCTCTGTTTGTACATTTGTATCCTTATTTCTAATCTTTGACATTGTCACTGACGTTCCAATCCAAGATGGCAGACATGCCGCTTGTACCGTGATAGTATGGAATCGTAGGAGTATAAGTTTTAGGTGTGTCTTTCATATTAGCGAACTATAATGTCTCCCGAAATTTTGACTAAAATCGTGTACGAATTTTTCGACAATGTAAAATATCGCTCTTGCGTATCGTGCGCTAGATTTAGGTAACGTTTGTGCCGAAACATATGTAAAACGGTGATTGGATTCGTGTTATTCTGTGAGTCGTGTACGATAAGTATTCTGGTTCGATGGTAAATTAAAATGTGGAATATGATGTGCGACGTGATGCCCACTATATCCGAGGACAGTATTAGTCAAAGGGGTTCGCAGTTCACAGGCGAGGACGCGAACTTCGAACAGCTTATGGTTTCTATGTTGGACGAGCGAGATAAGTTAGTTGAGAGTCTGCGTGAGACCCAGGAGCGCCTCTCCGACACCGAGCTACGGCTCAAGGAGGTGGAGAAGGAGCGAGACTCGCTGCAGCGGCAGATAGCTGCCAACTTACCTCAGGTCAGTGACTCCATTCTCTTACGAACGACAGCCTACACTTTTCTATTAAGTAAATACTCAATGCATACACATTAGCACACCAATGTTTATAAATATCTAAAAATATTGCAAAGTTTCTACAAAATTTGGACATAACTAGTACTAGATAGCACTATCAGTGCAAATTTACACATGATGTTACTAAATATTTAACAAATTATTGTTATCACATGTATGAAGGTTGAGAACACACTCACCACAGGGTTATGTCACAGTTTATGCTGGAACTAAAAGAACATATAATCACCACTGTCATTTCTGCATTATAAAAATTTAAATTTTTCAAAATGCACCTACATATAAGTCCTATAGATAGCATATCAATAATGTTGTCAAACTTCATAATTTTGGCAATTCTTACATAACATATATTAATATAGTGACCTCATATTTATAAAAGAAATATTTAGGCTTATTTAATATATGTCATATATTCTGAATTTCAATAAATAATATTTTAATCATATAATGATGGCTAGGCTATAAAACCTGAATAGTTTATTTGTATTTTCAATATATTTAAATCTATTAGTTATATAATATAAAATATTCAATATTTCTCTCTTATCACTTGTTTCTTAATATTTCCAGAAGTCTTATCAACAGTTAATTAATGATCACTTTCTTTAAATTTATCCTGATTAAGGCAATTTTTTTATTGTTTATTATTTATATGGTTATATATTTAATATAATTAAAATTGATTTATATATGACTACAATTATTATAGAACTGTTTTCTTTAATAAATTTGGATGTAATTAAATTTATACGGTGATAAATTCATCATTTTAAATTGCATTTTTTTAGGAAATAAAGCATTAAGTCAACTGAGTTACAATTCATATTATATGTTGTATATTTAGTTTTTAAACACATTTTTTAAAGTAACTTATAGATTTATTGTTTGCTACAAAACATAAAATTCCTTTATTTGTCATTCAATAGGAATGACCAATAATGTTTAACCACAAAAATGTAATAAACCTACAGATATACTTTTATATATATATAATATATAATAAATAAGCCTGGGAGGTATAGAAATAAAGAATAATTAGACAGAACATAGTGGGTCAAGGTGTCATTGAGTAACCAGTACTCAGTCATTAGAACTATTGCTTGCAAGCAACTTGTGAAATATTTATTTTAAATCTATGTCCACAAATGTTGTGTTAGTTATGGTTTTTTTATGTTAATTAGTGGTTATTATTTAACATATAACAAATTTCTTATTGATTATGAAATGGTTATTTTAAGATTTTTTCCCATCTATGGAAGTCATAGTAGCAGATATAAAGTATCCATTATAAATATAGGTATATATAGTTTATATATTGCTAGGTATATCTTTTAATATAGAATTAAAGTATTTACTACAAAAAGTAGTAATCATCAAGATATTTATTTTTATACAAAATTGAAATAGATAAATGTTACCAGTACCAATTGATATTAAAACATAAGAATCGTCTTTATTATAAATGATAAATAAAGTTAAATTTTAACTGAGATGTATATAGCTAAATTGCAGTATTTATACAAATATTTTGTAGTAATTACCACTAAACGAGTAGCCTACATGTTAGGTATTTAGTTCACAACTGAATTTAATCTGCAATGAGGATGTGATCATATGAACATGTTTTTGAAGTGACCCTTTTATAGTGTACCTTTTGGTATTCATTATGTTTGAGATCAGTTTTGTATGTGACGCAGAAACACATAAGTTTTATGTAGTATTTGGTATCAAAGTTGAATTAAATATTTTGTAGTAAGAATTTTAAAAATACATTTTACACAGTGGCGTATTCGGTCTAGTGTTGAAAATACGAACACTCACAAGACATTTTGATAAAAATACTATCGAAATTTAAAGGATCTATAACAAATGTGTAATTTTTATTTTGCACATTAATTAATTTTTTGTGGACCATGTGCAGTGATGGCACCATTACCAAAACAGATCATGAGCGTCATATCCTAGCCGTATTCACCAATATGATATGGACAAATAGGGAAATGGAAAGGAAAATATCCTTTTTTATTTACAATTAATATCTACTATGAGGTAAAAAGTGTATGTGGAAGTTGATACTCTTTGTTATTTTTATATACCTCAGAGTTAATTTTTGTATGATTATTATTAGTTTAATTCATATTGCCGGTTGCGCAGGCGGAGTTGCAGGAAACGGATAGCATTCAATGCACATACGTAGGTCTGAGGTACGCGTTTATAATGGAAGGACACGAGAAATTATATAGAGACGTATTATTATCTTATTATTATGACTAAATATTAAATGGGAGTGGACTGTGCCACTTGTCTTATACAAATTACATTTTGTATGAAATTAATGAATTGTATGTTAATGAGATCTAAGATTTTCGCGAATACTTTTTTAAATGAAACTAATATTTTCGGATTTACTACACGGTTTTTTAATTTTAATTATAAACTACATACTTCCCACGTTTCGGCAATTTTACAGCAACCGTGATCACGGGTCATAGTCAAAAATAAAAAAAACCGCGCAGTAAATCCGAAAATATTAGTTTCATTTAATTGTATGTTAGTTTTCTATTTTACGATCGTAAATAAGCTAAACCATTAAAAAGAGAATCCCTTTTCATTATTCCAGACTCCTTACCCCGAGTTTACATCTTTAACTAAACACACTGTACAGTTATTCCATTCGTAAATCCATTTTCATACTATCATGTGTGAAGACTCATGAATGAATAACTGAAAACTTAGTGTGTAACGTGTGACGATAGAAACACGTAGTAATATAACAGTTTATTACGAGTACAGACAGGCTTACCATTATTGTTTGATTTAATATTTTCTTTGATTTTGATTTGGTCAACATTAGTGATTAGTGTTAGAATTTTTTAAAAGTAAGTTTTGGTCCTTTGAATAAAACCTGTTCCGTAGTTAAAGCTATACTAATTAATAATATATCTCGTTGGATTAAATAATACCATTTTATATACTTTAGTATTTTATTTAAAGATAACATTAAGATAACTGGGGATAGATGACATTTTCGACTGTATTTATCTTAATTTGCGAATTATATTATCCTCGTGAAACGTATAAAAATATTTTTTGGGCTATATTAGTGACTAAAATATTTTAAATTACATGTAATTCTAACATATTCAAGTAAAAAAAAATTTCAATATAAATTATGAGTCAGTATAAAATAATTAATTGTGAAATTTATAAAAATTACAAAGAAAAAATTAAATAAAATTTCATTCAACCTTGTATCTAACATACTGGCAGAAGTAATTAATTGTATAATTAGAAGTTTTTGTTTTCTCTGTTAATATGTATGTATGTTTGTGTGTCAGCTTCAACGTGTAACTAAGAAACTAGTTAATGAGATTAGCTGTCACGTTCATTAAAAATGTGATAAATTTTTGTTATGCGCTCTAACAAGTTAATTACTATTTAGAAAACATACACATGTTCTAAAAAAATATAATTTTATAATACATAAAAGAATCCATACGTTTGTAAGGTGTATTTTTTACTAGCTTTCTGGCCACAGCTTCACCCGCGTGGAGTTCGGTTATCTCGCGTTTCCAAGAGAACCTTTCAAAAGTGTGAGATAAAAACTATCCTATGTTCTTTTTCAAGGTCAATTCTATCTCTGTACAAAATTTCATTAAAATCAGTTCAGTGGTTTGGTTGAGTTAATTTCGCATTTATAATATTAGTAGGGATATACCTAAATCTACTCTGGCTTACGACAAAACAGGAAAAAAAATCTATAGGAAACAATAAGAGTTCGTCGTTTAATAATTTAGGCACATTTATTATTTTTGAATAATGAACTGAGTACTAAACTAAACGACACATGATGAGGAATTATCAGTTTTCTTTCGTCAGATTTACGAGCAGCATATTATCTTTATAGCAAAATATTCAAGGTTATTTTATTTGAAGAGTACTTCTTTTCATTGACAAATATAGCTGAGTCATTTATGTTATTGATACGACTTTGGATTCAGATTTTAATGAGAAAATTACGAACTACTACTATTTAAAGAAAATGTTTCATTTATCCACACGAATATATATAAATACTAGCTGACCCGGCAAACGCTGTTTTGCCATATTAAATATTTTGGGTTGAATGTATTTTTAATGCTATATTATAAAAAAAAAATAATAAATTTCGGCCGAAAAAAACAGGATGAACAACCCTTATGACTTAGGGAAATGAAAAATAGATTTTGGCTGATTCTCAGACCTATTCAATATGCTTACAAAATTTCATCAAAATCGGTCCAGCCCTGTGTCTAACACCGCGACACGAGAATTTTATATATAAGTTTAGTTATAACAAAGGTTTTTATTTAGTCAATGATCTCGTTTCATGAAGTCTCTCAGCAATGTTTGTGTATGATCAAGATTAATTCATATTTTACTCGTGATAAGCTGGCCAGAGCCGCGACCTCCATATTAAGAAGTGCCCTACATCCATCCAGTCATCTCCACCCTCCACCCATTCAGGAGTCAGGAGCTCGTAATATCTCCGTAACGTATTCAATGAATACCAAGGAATTGTTGCCTTTGATATGCAATTGCTATGAAGATTTCATCGGAATTATATATGTTACATGACATCCCTACTAATATTATAAATGCGAAAGTAATTCTGTCTGTCTGTTTGTTACGCTTTCACGCCTAAACCGCTGAACTGATTTTAATGATATTTGGTGTACCAAATAGAGTTGACCTTGAGAAAGAACATAGGATAGTTTTTATCCCAGACTTTTGAAAAGTTCTCTTGGAAACCGACTGCGGGCGGTAAGCTAGTAATATATGTATAATATATGACTTGTTGACTTTGATGTATGTACGTTTGTATGTTTGTAATTTGTTTTACAATTACCATATCACCTTTAAGATGCAGCTTCATACATTCCCTGTATCTTTAAATATAT